CGGAATTGGAAATTAAGGAGGCGGTGATGAATATGGGTCGGCTTAAAGCCTCTGGGCCGGATGGATTCCAAGGCATTTTTATCAGACTTTCTGGGAGCAGCTTAGGGATGATGTTAATAGGTTGATTACATCCTTAATGCATGGTTCGGTTACTCCTCGTACTCTTAATGCCACTCATATTGTTCTTATACCTAAAGTCCCTCATCTGGAAATGGTTTCTCAGTTTCGACCTATTAGCCTTTGTAACTATTCTTATAAGATTCTGTCCAAAGTCATTGCCAATCGTCTTAGAGGTGTACTACCACATATTATTTCCTCCTCTCATAATGCATTTGTGGCTGGTCGTCAGATTCATGATAATATTGGAATTGGGCATGAATGTTTCCATTTCCTGAAAGGGCGTAGAACGAAAATCAGGTTTGAGATGGGCATTAAGTTGGATATGCAGAAAGCCTACGATAGCGTAGAATGGGATTTTCTTGATGCTGTCATGGGAAGGATGGGGTTTTGCAGTGAGCGGGGGCAAGTGATTATGAGATGTGTCTTTGGTGCAATTTGCAGTCCTTCTCAACGGGCAACCTGGTAATTCTTTTGATCCCTCTAGGGGTCTTAGGCAGGGTGATCCGCTTTCTCCATATCTTTTTATGTTGGTTGGGGAAGTCCTATCTTGTTTGATTCAGGAAGCGGTAAATACGAAGATGTTGGATAAGATGAAGATTGGTATTTCCGGGCCCGTCATTTCTCATATATTTTTTGCTGATGACACTCTTCTTTTTCTAAAGACAAATGTGAAGAATTGCAGAAATCTGGTTGACATTCTGGGGAGGTACTGCGAGGCTTTGGGGCAGAAAGTGAATTTGTAAAAATCTAGTGTCTACTTCGAGGCGAACGTTCCTTAGCGGATATATAGTGATTTAGTTAATGTTCTGGGTATCCCTGCTGTTACTAATCCTGGAGCTTACTTGGGTGTTCCAGCTATTTGGGGTCGATCCAAGAAGCGGGGCCTCGCTTATGTTAAGGGTCGGGTTTTGGGGAAGTTGCAAGGTTGGAAACAAAAAATATTATCTAGAGCAGGGAAAGAGGTCTTGATTAAGGCAGTTGTTCAGGCTATCCTCTCCTATCCGATGAGTATTTTTAAATTTCCAGCCATAGTGTGTAATGAGTTGGATGCTTTGGTCGCTGGGTTTTGGTGGGGTAGTCTGGGGGCTCAGCGGAAGACTTATTGGGTTTCTAAAGCTGTTCTTGGCCTTCCGAAAGATTTGGGGAGTTTGGGATTCCGGAACTTCAGTGAGTTTAATGATGATTTATAAGCTAAACAATGTTGGCGGTTGATTTATAATCCGAATTCTCTTTGGGCTAGAGTTCTCAAAGCACGGTACTTCCTGAACTGCTCTTTTTGGGATGCCAACAAATGAGAGAGGGCCTCTTGGGCTTGGTCTAGTCTTCTAGAAGGTAGAGAATTACTCTGGAATGGTTATCATTGGCAAATTTTGGGTGGTGAGGATGTGCGTGTTTGGGTGGACTGATGGCTCCCTTCTTTGCCCGCGGGCCATCCGGTTCCGCTTGGTGAGGTCGCAGTTACTCCCACTTTGCGGATCATCTCTCTTATTATGGCGGAGTCTCATGAGTGGGACATTGATTTTTTGCAAGCGTTTATTTCTGAGGAGGAGCAGGATGTCATCCGGCAGATTCCTCTTAGTGATCTTAACCGACATGATCAGTTGGTGTGGGATGCCAGCAAGTCCGGAATGTACTCAGCTCGATCGGGTTATCATTGGTTGCAATCGAAGTCCATGGATATCAGGGATCATCGCCTACCTGGTGCTTGCTTAGTTCCGAATCAGCTGTGGCGGTCTGTTTAGAAGTTACATGGGACCCATAAGATTCGTCACTTCCTCTGGCTCTCGTTGCATAATGTCCTCCCTACTAGAGCGGTGCTTTTCCGTCGTCGTGCCTCCTCTTCACCTATTTGTCTTACATGTCAGTGTGCGGATGAAATGGTGGAGCACTTGTTCCTTCTCTGTCCGTGGGTTCAAGTTATTTGGCTTGGGGGAGCTCTTAACTACCGGGTTGATAGAGACGGTATTCAATTGTGGGTGAGCTGGTTGCAGTCTGTTTTTTCTATTAACCTTGGATCCTTGGCTGATCGGAAATGGGTTCACTCTTATATGAGCTTTACTTGTTGGGTTATATGGAAAGTTCGTTGTGAATTTGTGTTCAATCAGGTCCCAATTAACCCCACCTCGGTGCTGTTGAGGATGTCGTCTGCGTTTAGGTCGTTCTGGGATGTGGAGGGGGGTCACGGGGTCTGCTGGTTTGGTGTTTTCTGTTGGGCGGGTGCTGGTCACTCGGTGGACTCCTCCCTCACCTTTGTTTTTTAAGATAAATGTTGACGCTAGTTGGTCTTGGGCTTCTAGGAAGGGCTTTGTGGGGGTGGTCCTGATGGATGCGAATGGGGTTTTTGTGGCGGCTGCCAGGTACGCTACGGTGTCCCCCAATGTTGCTGCGGCTGAAGCTTATACGTTATTGTGTGCATGTGAGATGGGCATTTCCTTGGGGTGTACTTCGGTTATTTTGGAATCGGATTCTCATGAATCCATTTCTTGTCTTTCTGGCTCTATTGATTCTGGAAGTTGGGAAGCTTTCCCTCTCTTGGCTCGAGTCAAGCAGTTGAGTGAAGCTTTTCAGTTCTGCCACTGGTCTTGGGTCCTAAGATCAGCCAATTATGCGGCGGATTTTCTTGCGTCGGTTGGTTGTCCAGAGATGTGTGATCGGGTCTGGGTTTTGAGGCCCCCATCTTCGTTGGTGCATGTGTTGAACAAGGATGGGCTCCCTTGTTCGCATTGATTTGTCTTGGCAATGTTTGGGGCGACGCTCAATTTGTTTGTCGCGTCTGCTGGTTTGTATCCCCTCTCATTGCGTTCGTCTTTGTGTGCGTGTTTGGTGTTAGCCTCTCGTAGGCTCTCTTGTTCTGTTCGGCTTCTTAGCCTTGGTTTCTGTCAAAAAAAAAATCATAGTAAATACATTTTCAAAGTACGTGTCATCACAGCTACGTTAGAATTTGGGACCTCAAATTCCTAAGTTTAAATTCCATGTAAATATGTGTCATTTCCCAATTTTTATGATTGAGAGTTTAAAATTAACAAATTTCATTATCAATTCCATTGTTCTTTTAGGTTAACTAAACAAGAAAATTCACAAATTTTAGAAAATAAAATCTCTTCATTTCAATTTCCATCATTTTAAAATTCCTTAATAATCTTAAATTTTTTCATCTAGACATAGTATTAAGGAAAGCATCTTTAATTATTTTTATTTTACCTTTTCTGTTTAGTTTAGTTTAGGTTAAGTTTTGTTTTTTGTTTTTTTTGTTTTTTTTTTGGTTTTATTAATTTTAGTTTCAAATCTTTCTAAATTTTGTTTTTCATTTTATAATTTACATGGCACATATATTATGGGACCCACGACGTCCATGTAAGCAAATAATAGAGAAACTGATAGATTTTTTAACGGATGTATGAAATTGAAACAAAATAACAGGTAATGTAAGAGATTGAAATATTTTATAGATGTTGTATGAAGTTGTAATTGCACCCAAACTTGAGGTGGTAAACTGTAATTAACCATTTTTTAAATGTTAGATAGAGTGTTAACCGGGTTCAAACCTATAACGTAATGCAAAAGTAATACTCTTCTTCACCATTATGGTAAAGAACCACTTGCTACGTTTCTCTTCCTTGTTAGCCGGAGTTAAAGTTTTTTATTTTTCCTCTTCTCGGTGATGGATGATTAACAATGTTTAGTTCCTGACAAGTGTCTTGTCATAACTGCTGAATTTGTGACCGCATTCCATTAGGCTTTAATTGATCTCATCAGCCCATTAAATAGACCTTTTGTTTTTAGCCCACATGTGAAAGCCACGTGATGTGGCTAGGGTTTTTACATAGCCGCAGCTGATGCCCTTAGTAGTCAGCAAAGAAAGGCCGCCGACTGCCCTATTTGTTAGAGAAAAAGAGGAGAGCTGCTGCCCTCATTTCGTTAGTAATCATTCTTTCAAAGTTGTATTTTATAAAATTAGTTTTGAGCTTTTTATATAAATGAAATTATTCATTATATATCTTACTCTGTTTGTTTGTTTTGATGAGTGAGAGATATTGAGTGTATTAAGATGTTGGGTTGTGATATTGCCAAATACTTTATATGCACTCTTATTTGATTGATAGTGGATTATTGTTGAGCTCCTACAGTTTTAAGAACGTACTCCAGTTACATTGATAGTTGAGGAAACTTGTTAAATCTTGATGCCTTTTCTATTTTATTCTTGCACTTCATTTGGTAATTTCTTATAGGTTAGTTTGAGTTAGTTTCCAATTGATTTGGTGCTATCCTAGCACAACATTAACAAATATCCAAAGACTTGGAGAAAGAAATTTTGGATGCTAGAGAGAAAATTGATTATTTCCAGGTCAAAATGCAGTGAGATAATTTGGACTGAGCTGCTGCCTGTGAGATAATTATAGACAGAGCTGCTGCCTGTGAGATAATTTGGTTAAAATTCAAAGTTTTGAAATTTTTTTCATTAGTTTTCTTTAACTATTAAGATTCGTTTAATTTGATTTGATTATAATATGGTAGAGAGATTAATAGTTGTAACGATTGTGTAATATCTTATGGTGAAATCAAACAAAATGAATTTGTGACTCTAAAGATTTTTCATTAATAATTTAATGAGTTGATTTGTCACTTGTGCTCGGAAATACAGATTCCAAATCCAATTCATGCAACTGGTCTTTCTATTACTCATAGCTTTTTCAGAAGAGCCTTTGGAACTTTGTGCATCTAGTCAAAAGCCAATTGCAGTAAAATCTGAACAAGTCTGCCTCTCCCCCTCTCTCGTTTGTTTCATGGATATGCCTTCTTCTTCTTCGTCGTCATCCGCTGTTGCTACTGCTGATTATACAAAAAAGTAGTTGTTTTGGATATCTTATTTTGAAGGTGGAGAAAACAAACAAGCCATTGTCAAATTGGTAACTTGTCAGAGGTTAGTCAGTGTTTAATGTTTACTGATACTGTTAAAGGCTCTTTCTATATTTTTTGTCATTTCTTTTTAATTAATAAGTTTAGTTGTTATGTTATGCTGGCATTTAATTTGCTAATTAATTTTTGTTATGTCTGCTGTTAATTTCTTCTCTGGAGACCTGCCACCGGATGTCCTTTGTTTTGTTTGCATCTTTATCAATTGTCTTCCTTTTGACGCTTGGATTAAACGGTTCTCTTAACAGAGGTTCTGAAAAGCTTCATTACAAAAGATTAAAAGAGAAAGCGCCAATGGAAATAGAAAACAAGGAAGAGAACACAAGAAAAAGGTCTCAAGTTGATTTTTTGCATCCTTTTTGTGTGGTGTTTTTTGGTATGCATAATAATCTGATTTATGTTTTTTGACTGTATGAAACATAACCAAAACTTGACTTGCAGGAATCGATCAGGTGACGATGATGATACTGATTGTGAGACGAGCAAAGCAAGGAGAAAAGGTTCGCATTTATATCATTTTATGGTTTTCAACTACTGGTAGTTTTACATGCTGAGATGACGTCGTTCATACCAAGATTGCAAATATATGATATCTTTATTTAAATTATAGTTTTTTTCAAAGAAAATATGTGCCTATCATGTGCTCCATTTTCTACTTTCGTTCATCTCTCTCTCATTGAAACTTTGTGCCAATTCTAAGTAAATTCTCCTTAATTCGTGCAACGTCATAATTTTTATCTCCTTAATTAAAAATTAATCTGTCTGCAACTACGTCTTTTTGCTGGATCTGAAAACTAGAGGTCATGGACATTGCTTCTTCTTCATCATCCGCTGCTGATAACCCCCCACGTCGAGGAAAGTATGATGTGTTTCTCAGTTTCAGAGGTGAGGACACCCGCCTTGGTATTACCAGCCATCTTCATGCTGCCTTAATTCAGAAGAAAATTGAAACCTACATCGATAACAGACTTCAGAGAGGAGAAGAAATCGGACCTGCCCTTCTAGAAGCAATCGAGAAATCCACCATTTCGGTGATCATTTTCTCACAAAACTATGCTTCTTCCTCATGGTGTTTGGATGAGCTTGTGCATATACTCAAATGCAAGAACAGAGAAGGCCGGATGGTTATACCCGTATTCTACGACATCAATCCATCTGATGTACGAAAACAACACGGGAGTCATGAAGTTGCATTTGCTCAACTTGAAAAACGTTTCGATAAGGACAAGGTGCAGAAGTGGAGGGATGCTTTGACGACTGCAGCCAATCTATCTGGGTTTGATCATTCAAACAAATCTGGGTAGCTAAATCATTCCTTAACTTGTCTAAAGTTATAAATTTTCTTTAAACTTGTGACAATTTGATTTGTGCTAAGATTTGGTAAAGCGTATTTAAGACTAACTATTGCTTTTCTACCTAATCATATACATCTATACGCCAGGACGGAGGCAGATCTAATTCAGAAAGTTGTCGATCATATTTGGACCCAATTGTGTCGTGAATCATCCTGCGATTTAAAGGGCTATGTTGGAATTGAAAGCCGCATCAAGAAGATAGAATCGCTATTAAGCATTCATTCACCAGACGCTTGCATCACTGTAGGTATTTGGGGAATGGGTGGTATTGGCAAGACCACCCTTGCCGAAACTGTATTTCACAGACTCTCTTCTAAATTCGAAGCTTCTTGTTTTGTTAAGAATGTCAGGGAGAACTCAGAAAAAGCTGATGGACTAGATCACTTGGAAAAAACACTTCTTAAAGAGATATTAAAGGAAGAAGGTCTATCCATAGGAGCACATGGTGTTCGAAAAAGGCTCAGCCGCACAAAGGTTCTCATTGTTCTTGATAATGTGAGTAGTTCAATGCAAATGGAACGTTTAGCTGGCAGTCGTCTTCAGTTTGGCACTGGAAGTAGAATCATTATCACAACTAGAGATAGGGGCACACTTGGAAAAACTATTGAAGAGGATAATATCTACAAGGTTGAGGTATTAAAATCGAATGACTCTCTTCAGCTCTTCAATTCGCATGCTTTCAAGGATAACAGTACTTGTAGAACAGATTATAAGGAGTTGGCAGAAAAGGCGGTGGCTTATGCCAAATGCGTTCCTTTAGCTCTTATAGTTCTGGGGTCCTTGTTCTTCAATTGCAAGAGCAAAGAAGAATGGGAAGATGAATTCAACAAATTGAAACGATTTCCCATCGAAGATATCCAGAAAGTGTTGAGAATAAGTTATGATAAATTGGGAGACAATGAGAAGGATGTATTTTTGGATATAGCATGTTTTCATAAAGGGAAGTCTGTGGTTGAGGTAAAACGAATGTTAGATGTTCGTGGATTCTTTGCGACATCTGGAATTAGAATTCTCATTGAGATGTCTCTCATATCAATTGATTCAAAAGGAGGAATGGAAACTAGAGAGATGGACAATTTGCTACAAGAAATGGGAAGGGAAACCATAGAGATGCACGATTTGCTACAAGAAATGGGATGGAAAATTGTTCAAGAACAAGGTATTAAAGATCCCGGTAAACAGAGTAGGTTGTTCAATGATGAGGATGTCTATCGTGTATTGAGGAGTAACACGGTAAGAGCCAAATGCATTCCATTTTATTCTTTTCTTTTGTTTTTTTAGAAAATAAAAATTACAAACTTGAGATGATAACAGAGCAAAGTAAAACTAATGTATAATAAAGAAGTGAGATTGTTAAAAGATGAATTAGATTGAATATCAAAAGATGAATTAGATTGAATATTTATTGTGTTAGTAAGTGTTTGGAATATGAACAAATGTTTGTTTATTTAGACAAGTAGGGGAGGATACAATTATGTTGGATATTTGACTAGACTTAGACACTTGTACATGATTACCATCGCAAATACTCTTTGTTCCAAATGTGCGTTACATTTTAATATGTTTATATTCACATTTAAACTTTCTTCTTATTCTCAGGAAACTCCAAATGTTGAAGCCATAGAGTTGTATAATCTTCAAGAGCGACCGTTGAAACATGCAGACTTCAAAATATGTCTAACCTAATAATGCTAAGCTCGCTTGGCAAATTGACCGATTCTCTAGAGCTTCCCGATTCTCTTCGTTATCTTTACTGGCTTAGTTATCCACTGGAATCTTTACCGTCAAATTTTTGTCCGGAAAATCTAGTTGAGCTTCATATGCGATATAGCAAAGTTAAGAAGCTTTGGAAAGAAGAGCAGGTATGTTATATTATATGCCTATTTTAATTCTTGTATAAAATCAAGTGTAGAAATTATATTAATTCTTTATATTTCTATTTAATTTGTTGCAGATACTTGTCAACTTACAAGTGATTGATCTGCGGGGTTGTTCAAATCTAACTGAAGTTCCAAATCTCTCCGGGAGTCTAAAAATTGTGGAGATAAATCTCGGGCGCTGTCGAAGTTTGGTTGAAATTCCTTCGTATTTTCAACATCTTGACAAGCTTACTCATCTTGAGCTTAGAGACTGCACCAGACTCGGGTATCTTCCAGAGATGCCAGGAAATATTAGATACTTAGATTTACGAGGTAGTGGTATAAAGGAGTTGCCTGAATCAGTTTGGTCTAACGAAAATATTGCTTACTTGAATTTAAGGCAATGCGAAGACCTTAAGAAACTTCCAAGCAGTAGGTGTAAGTTGAAAAATCTCGAGAAACTTGATCTCAATTCGTGCTCTAAATTTGAAAACTTTCCAGAGATTTTGGAGCCAATGGAACATTTGAAGTCCTTAAGTTTAATTCATACAGCAGTTACAGAGGTACCCTCATCAATCTGTAACTTGAAATATCTTGAGAGTCTTGATCTCACCAAGTGCTCTAGATTTTCCAAATTCCTTGAAATCTTGAAGCCAATGGAACATTTGGTGTCTCTTTGTTTGCAAGACACAGTTGTCGAAATGCTTCCTTCGTCTATTGGAAATCTAAATAGGCTTCAAGATTTAAACCTTAGTCGCTGCTGTCAACTTAAGGATGTCCCAAAAAGTATCTACAGTTTAATCAGTCTTAGACGTCTCAACTTTTGGGGCTGTCGGAGACTTGAAAAATTGCCTTCCAGCTCTGTTGGTTTTCTCTCTTTAGAAGAACTAGAACTCAGCTTCAGCGGTATATTGGAAATACCAGCAAGCATCAAACAAGCTTCTCGGTTGTCTATGCTCGACTTATGCTGGTGCAGCCGGCTTCAATCTATACCAGAGCTCCCAGTGCTATGTAATGTTAAAGCTGAAGGCTGCACATCGCTGAAGATAGTGTCAAGTTCAAGGACAGCCCTCACACAAGGTTGGGATAAACCTAATTATTGTTTCAGACTTTTTACTAATTGCCCAAAATTGGATAATAATTCAAGGAGCAACATAATGGATGAAGCACAGATTACAATTATGCGAATGGCAACTGTTGCGCCATTAAAGGATTACTGGAGTCATAGACCCTGGGCTCATAATCCCTGGCCTCAGATTAACGTTGTATGTCCAGGAAAAGAAATTTCAAATTGGTTCAGCTATCAAAATGAGGGATCTTCAGTAGACATTGAGCTTTGTCCAGATTGGTTTCGAACAGGTTTATTTGGTTTCGCTCTCTCTGTTGTTCTTTCATGCAGTTCAGACGTGAAGTATTTATTCAAGACGGTAAGAGCTAATTTCATTGTCAAAGTCATGGGTGAAAGCCATGAACTGTTCAGTTCTAAGTACATTATCCGAGGCTCCAATGACGGCCAACATCACGTGCATGTGTGGAATGAGGCCTTTAGAAGTGAAGAGGTAGGAAAAAACTGCTCCCCTGATGTTTACAAACTTGCCAAAGAGGCCTCTGTCGTCTTCTTGTGCCCATTTTCTATCGAGGTGGAAAGCTGTGGTATATGCCCATTGTATGCCGAAGAGGCTGAGAAATTCAAATTTGGTCATGTGTTCATGTCGAGGGGACCAAAAGTAGAAGAAGAAACAAGACAAGATGATGATTCCAAAGGTGGTGGATCAAGAGATGAGCCTCAAGTTAGTGGATCAAGTCATGAGTCTGAAGCAAATGAAAGTGATTAGGAAAAACTTTTTAAGGCAAATTTGTACTTTGATAGCTCACTTGTCTCACCAAGAAATAAGACAACAACCAGGTAAGGCTTTTATTATTTGATATTGTTTATGCTTTATACATTATAAAGCGCTAGTTATGGACAAGTGTATAACTAGACATTAATTAACACATCATGGCAGGACAAAGTAAAAATCTCACAACCAAGCGCGATAGTTTGAACATTCAACACGACAAAAATATGCGATTGTTCAATATGCGATTGGATAAATCAAACATAACGTTGCTTGGTAGCACTGCTGGAAGAGGGCGTCCCTCCCTAAACCGCTCCATCGAAGATAACGTGGCATGATGGGTAGTCATTCTATCAATCTAGACTGCACAATGAGACATGACTCAATTTAATAGTATATATTTATGGATGTTCGTATGTGAATTGGCCATCAAAAGATTACTCCCAATCACAAATTAAATTTTATATCTACAAAATATCTATGGCATCTGTAAGTTTTTAGATCAAAATACGAAAAATATGCTTGATTGAGCCTGTTATGTTCAGCAATTCAAGCTAATGAGAAAGTGCATTCATATAATCAATATTTAACATAACTCTCTCAACATCACTAACTGTAGTATAAATTCTTCATCTACTTATTTTCTACCATTTGAACATCAATTCCGCATTTATACTAACACGAAATAAAAATCTCAGCTTAGGTAAGAGAATTAAGACATCCCGAGCTCACATTTACCACTTCAACTACAATTGGACTACAAATTCAAAATCGGCCCGTCGGAAATACGCATCGAAAAGATTCACATTCACCGATTGGTTCTGCGGCGATGCCATCTCCACCGTTGGATTGCGATTCGCGGAGGATCAGACCACGGAATCAATCGAGAGCACCGCGCGCTCAGGCTGCAGTACGCGCAAGGAGCGCCGGGAAAACCACAAATTCGGAGGACCAGGATTTGGTTGCCTTTCTTCTCCGATTCGGAGGAAAATCAGAAGACGACGAAGACACCGAGCGAGACACCGAGCGATGCCAATAGTTTGGGGTACAAAAACGATGATTTTTCGTCTTATATTTTGTGACAAAAATGGTGTTGTATTTGTGTTATATTTCAAAATTGCCACTGGTCCTAATGAGCCCGGCCCATTAGGTACTACCCCAACAAATACAATTTAGAAATCAGAGTTGGTTTGCAAGTTTATGTTTTCGATTTGTCAACTTAATGCGAGATTGAGAAGGAAGCTACAATTTATAAATCAGAATCATTTGTTTGTCGGATATTTGACATGTTATATTTTGAGACTGTAAATTGCAGATGTACATTTAGACATCGTTATGTAAATCCGTCTAAAGAAGGAACCTAATTGATAATCCATACACACCCATATAGATTAAATACTTTTATCATGGCCAACAAGCAGCTTTTGTCCACGACGATGTTGTGTTCACGTTTCGTCGGTTTTACGTTTTCTTCTTCTTTTAGGAGACGATCAATGATTAGTGTTCTAAAATATAATTACAAACCTTTTAAATAACTTCATTAGTTGGTACAATTAAGGCATTTTGATTGATCCCTTTTGTGATCGCCTCATTTTCGCTATTTAATTAGTCCCTGAAACTTCTTGCATTACATGATGTGCATGAAAAGGTCTATTAAATAAAACATTGGGAATCTTTGAGGTAGTACTATGTTTTAGATCAAAATCAAAGAAACGGCCAAATAATTGATGTAATTAGTAAATATTGACACATAATGTAATGCATACTTAATTGGAGCTACACCAACATACACCCAAACTAGAACAATTGATGAGTCCATATTGTACAATATATTTTACCCTATTCTTTGTATTAGTTTATTGGTTATTTTGGTAGAATTTTGATACTTTGTTATATATTTCCAATGTAGGATATTCGAATTCATCTGGAGCAAAAGGTGATCAAACAGATGAATTTTGGAGTGATTTCAATTGGAAGATGTTCGTGTGCCATTCAAGATGATTGTGTCAAAATTCTAGATTTTTCTACCAAACCGTTTGATCGTGACGATGAAATTAAGGCCCAGCATGCAGCTTTCTTATATTGACGTTTCTGGACGTTTTGGGTATTTTGGAGGTCAAGATGACATATTTCGAGGAAGATTCATTCTGTGGATTTGCAGGGGACATCTTCAGCTTTCAAAAGAGACCTTTTGAGACCGAATCGGAGTTGATTTGGTCAGTCAAAAGTATAATTTTCTAAGAAGGCCGAATTTTAGTTTAAATAGGAAACCTTTTATTTTTTGTTTTATTATTTTATTATGTTTCCTAGTTTTATTCCAAGTCCTTTTCTATGTAGGGTTTTATTTTCTAGTAGTATAAATAAGGCTTTTAGCCATTAGGATTTTTTGAGGAGGAGGAGGAGAAGAGAGGAGAACGCACTATTCAAGAGGGTTTTTGAAGTTTATTTTCTAGGTGTTTTCTATCCTTTCTCTATTTCAATAAAATTCCTTTTGTTTTATGGTTGTTCGTAGCTAATTTTTGTTTGTTAGGGCGATGTCTTGAGCCTTAGCATGAATATGTAGTTTTTATTTAATTCCTTATGATATTATTCATGCATATTTTGAATTATTAATCACTGTACTTTAAACTGTCTCTATATCTTAATGCTTAGCTACCACTAGGATGTTAGATACGTAATCAGATGCAATTCGGTCGGAATGCCAACGGGGAATTGAGTATTGCCTCTTGTGATTGATAGTTGTAATTTCACCTAGGGCGAATGTCACGTCTTAGGGGCTGCATGGTTTTTTAAAGGCTTTTCACAAAGCGTAATGAGTCATGCATGTTTATATTTGATTTGAATGCCACAAACGGATTGCATGTTTGATATACGTTCTAGCTTGAATGTCACAAGTAGAATATGCATAAGGAAAACCTAACCTTCAAAGTTGCATAGGTAATTCATAAGTAATTGATAAATCTACATAGGATTCTTAAGGGGACGATGGATCCCTAGGCTTTTACAATTTGGTTTTCAAAACGTTTTCTTTTGTTTTATTTTCTTTGTCAATTTATTTAATTGTGTTAATTTAAAATTCGTTTTTATTATTTTAAGTCATAAAATCACCTTTTATCAAACTTTGTTTTCAAATAGTTAATTAAGAATTAGTTTAAATACAAATTATTCATTGAATCCATGTGGAAAACGACATTGCTTGAACCGTTTATACTACAACTACCTTGTTCTCTTGCAAGTATTTTTTTAGTGTTTTTATCCCTACTTTTGTAGGTGGTAAAAATCCTATCAAGAAATTGGCACCGTTGCTAGAGATTGTTTCAAATAATTTGTGTTTATCATATTCTTGGTTACTTATTATTGTACATAAATATTTTATTTATTTAATTGCTAATTTTATTTTGTAGGTTTAATTCTGAGAAGAGTGCAACAATGGCGTGGGAACTGCCATCACCAGCCGGACCACAACCTTTATGGGATTCTTCAGCGGCAATGGTGGACATGGAAATACCACCACCAGGACCACCTTTATGGGTTTCTTTTGCAAAACAGGGTTTCTATGGATTTAAGCCTATACTTTGTGCCCTTTGTTGTTCAAAAACCCATGAAATTTTGCAATGCCCTGATAGGAAATATTTTCCAGACTATGTGGAGGAGCATATTAACATGAGGAACGACTCACTTTGGCGTTGGAATGATCCCACTTTTGATTTCTACGCTCCAGATTTGAAAAGGCATCCTACTTTTAGATGGGCAGGTACTCTACAACCTTTTGAGCAGCCTAATGTGCCCCAAAGTTCAGAAGACAGTTCGGCTACCAGTACATTAGAATGTGTGGAGAGCTCTAATTACATACTGGAAGATATTGAGATTGAAGAGCCATCAAGGTTTGACTCATGCACAACGGAGGAAACAAAACCTGTTGATCTTGTCATAACCCCAGAACCCAGTCCTACCCAGACCTATATACCACACATTCTCTTTCAAGAGGCTGCAATGCAACCCACAAAGCTGCAGGAAAGCTTTGAAACTGCCAGCACACACGGAAAGCCAATCATAATTGCAGAAATAGAGTGCAGGTCCATCAAGCAGGCAAAGGCATGGGAGAAGAAGAAGAAGTTTTGTGGCAGCCAAATTCCTCATAGACAAATTCGGCCAATGCACAAATTATGAGTATTAAATACAAGATTCAAGGCAACTCGACAAAGACGTAAACCTTGCTGGAGGGGATCCTATTTTATTACAAAAAGTCATTCACAGCGAAGGGTGGACATCAAGGCTTCAAACAATTAATTCAGATGCATAATTGATAACCATCAAGTCACACCAGACTTACCGTTGCCCTACGCTGCTAGAAAAGAGTGGTTGACTCTTATGACGTGATCGTACAATCCTCATTCCAATCCTTCTAGCTATAGACGTTAATTAAAGCTCTAATTGGGAGGCAACCCAATTTTTTTTTCTAACTCTTTTTTTTTATATTTCGTTTATTTATTTTCCTGTTTTTATTCCTAATTACCAAAAAAAGAAAAAAACTTGTTATTTTTCCTTACTTATCTAATTCGGTTTTTGATTTGTGATTGCAGGTTGCATTCGGAATCGGTCTAATCGCAATTAATCGTGGATGCATAGCATTCATCCATTCACATTAGTATGCATTCAACTATCCATTCGTCACGGCTTTGCATTCAACATCAACACTAATATGCAGAAATTTAAAAGGAAAGCCAACTGGAGTTCGAGTTTTCAGAAACGTTACAGTGGGTTTGCAAAGAAGACTCTGTACTACTTGGACACATTCCACTCATTCGCTCTTACATTTCAATATAAAAAAAATAAATAAAACTACAATACAAGTTTGGGGGTGGACCAAGTACTCAAAGCTAAGTTCAGATCCAGATTTTTTGCACGAATTTTCCTCGGCATTCATCATCAGGAGACATGCAGACATATACAACAATATACATGAGCATTGATGAAATTCTAGATCCATGGATGCATGCAGTGGCGAAGCCAGGATTTCTCGGGGGGAGAGGCGAACTTAAAAGAATGCAAGGTTAAAAAAATGGCAACAACTAAATCTTTTTATATAGTAATGTCTTCCATAATTAATCAATACAAACAAATTACAATTGTTGCCGGCGAGGTTTCATGTCATGAAAATGTAGCATAATAGGCTCATTATCAATAAAAACAAATACATCTTTCTCAATGTAAACAATCATGCTATCACTCAACCATTGATCTCCCATTTTGTTACGCAATGGTGTTTTCACAATCTTCATAGCAGAAAAAGCTCTCTCCACCGAAGCGGTTGCAACCGGTAACACCAAAGCCAATGTAAGAAGTTTATACACTAACATATAACTTTCACACCTCCCGGTCTTCACTAACTCTTGTGCAAGATCACTAATTCCTCTCAATGATGAAAACTCACTATGCATCTTCATATCATGAATGTAATTGTCAAGTTGAATTGGAAGATTCATGAGGTCCATACGACCAAAATCTTGAGAATAAAGTTGGGTTAAACGAACAATTTTTGCTTTGTCAAAAGATGCAAAATTATTCACCGGACTCAAACATGTCATACAAAGAAGTAACTCGGTATTAAATACCAATCCCCAATCTTGTATTAAATAACAATATGATTCACATCAATAATCAATAACCAATAACCATATTAATGCATTACCATATAATTCTATACTAATTAAATGAAATTTGTATTAAATAATTAAGGTAGGGATTATACATTTAAGAATTAAAAAATTTACTTTTAAATAGTGATTGGAGCCGGCTCAAGCTCAGAGGAGAGGAGAGTGGCTCACTGGCTTGTGGAACAAAAATTAAAGAGGACTTTGTGGCTTTGGCTTGGCTGCTGGAGTTTGGGGAGCAGCATGGCTGAGATGGATGGCCCCGCTCTCTGTGTGTCTATGTGTGTGTTGATTATTGGTGAAGAAGACTGAAGAAAATGATAGAAAAGAGTAAAGGGTGCGATGCGGATGGGGTCATGTGTGGGGGGGGACAGACAGAAGCTAGGGTTTCATTGGGGCGACATGCGGAAGCGGTCCCCCACCCCATTATAATTTTTTTTATTCAACTATCAAAACGACGCCGTTTTGATTTAGCTTTTTAAAAAAATTTTTACCAAGTCCAAAACTGCGTCGTTTTGGCCTTTTTTTAAAAAAAAAAAATTAGAACACAATCTGCACCGCAGATTCCCCAGAAAACCCAGAAAAACAGAGGGCGTCGTGAACCATTATTTTCCGGCGAGGCGCGCGAGGGGAGTGGCGAAGACCTGGGGTCCAGTGGTGTTTCCCCGCGAGGGAAGTGGCGGCCGCCACTCCTCGCTCCCACGTGGCTTCACCACTGGATGCATGAATGTAAGCACTATCTTCCAAACAATTCATAGAACAGTACAAAGAGAAGAGGGGAGGATAGTTACCTTCGTGAGGAATCTTGAATCAACGCTCTGGACCATGGATTTGCAAACATCTCCGTGACAACAGTGATGTTTAAGGGCTGGAGATCGAGGGCGATTTGTCGGAGCTTCGAGAGAGGATGGATGGATCGAGACTCCGTCTGAGGATTTCGTTTCACTTTAGGGTTGGAGCTGTGTTAAAGGATTTTCAGAGAAGTCGTGGTGTTTTAGCTCGATGATTTTGTGATGGAAATTGACAGGAATACAACTATGGAGGGAGGCACGGCTGGGTATTTATCTTTGAGTTCGAGTAATGGCGGAAACTATTGAGAAAATTAGTGTGTAAAAGAACCGCCAAAATTTCTGGTGCTCGTGTGTGTCGTGCGTGTGAGCATCAAATGGGCTGCCTTGCTTCTATTTTCGTGGGCCATTCTTCATGTCTTTTCTTGGTTTTCCACGGCCCAATGTGTGGCTCCTCAAGACCTTGGATCCCTTCCTGTCATTACTTGAGTTCCATGCCTCATGCCCCTATTCGCACCAGGTGCACTTTTTTCCTTTCTGTACTATTTTTTTTATTTTGTTACCTTTCCGTCTGTTGTTTTTGCTATTTTTCTTTTGTCTTTTAGTTATTTATGTTTAGTTCAAGTTTAGTTGTCGTGTTTTGTTGTCTTTTATTTTTCTTTTATTTCGCACACCTTGAGGACAACGTGTGATTTAAGTTTGCAGGTGGGAAATAAGAATGTTTAGACTTAATTTTTGAGTCAATAAAAAAAATTTCATTTTTTTTAAGTTAATATCCATAGATTATTTTAAACGTTAGAACAAATGGACATGATGAAGATTAATCTCATATTAGAGTCTTTTCTATTTATCGTATGGTTTGTGGGGAGTGAGATTGAAACACTTATGTATTTTAATTTTTGTTCTTAGTAAAGTTTAGTATGTGTTACAAATAAAGTAATAATTGTTCCACCCGAGACTTTGCTTAGTAACAGAGCCAGTCCTGCCTGATCAACAGTGATTCTCGCGTCAAACGGTAGAGTCTTGGTATGAGGCAAGGTGGTTAGTTGGTTTCATAGCCTTTTCAGCTCGAGTTAGTAAGTCCTTAGGGTGTTCTACACATAGTGCCCTAAAGCCTTTGTGGTTTGGGAGTCATTGACCTAAAGCTCGTTACATGGGTTGAATAGAAAGCTTAAGGAAACTGGCATTGCACGACCACTACTATTACTAAATAAAAGAAAAAGAGTATGAAAAGAGAAAAAAAAATAGAAAAAAATGGGAAAAAAAAAGTTATGTTTCAAGTTAGTATTTGTGAAATAAAGAAGACAAGATAAGGGTTTTAGTCGAGTCTCCTTAACTATATTGGTTCACTTTACACCAAAGGAAGTTCATGAATTCTTTTCTAATTGATTCTAAATGGCTTAGACTCTGTGGTGGGATTCGTTGAAACTTTTGGAAAGATGTTTTAATTTTTAACATTTTCTATAGATTGCAATTTGAAGATGAAAATTTTATCTTAGTAGAGTTTTAATATAGTTTTTAAGTTTGCTAGTTTTTATCTTTGTTTTTGAGTTTTGTTTTGCTTGAGGACAAGCAAAAAGCTAAGTTTGGGGGTATTTGATGGGTCCATATTATACCATATATTTTGCGCTATTCATAGTATTAGTTTATTGGTTATTTTGGTAAAATTTTGATACTTTGTTATATATTTCCAATTGGAGGATATTTGTGTGCCTTTCAAGATGATTGTGTCAAAATTCTAGATTTTTCTACCAAGCCGTTTGACCGTGGCAATGAAATTAAGGCCCAGCACGCAGCTTTCCCAGATTGACGTTTCTGGACATTTTGGGTATTTTGGAGGTCAATATGACATATTTTGAGGAATATTCCTTCTGAGGATTTGTAGGGGACATCTTCATCTTTCAAAAGAGACATTTTGAGACCGAATCGGAGTCGATTTGGTCAGTCAAAAATATAATTTTATGAGAAGTCCGAATTTTAGTTTAAATAGGAAACCTTTTATTTTCTGTTTTATTATTTTATTATGTTTCCTAGTTTTATTCCAAGTCCTTTTCTAGGTAGGGTTTTATTTCATAGTAGTATAAATAAGGCTTTTAGCCATTAGGGTTTTTTGAGGAGGAGGAGGAGAAGAGAGGAGAACGCACTATTCTAGAAGGTTTTTGAAGTTTATTTTCTAGGTGTTTTCTATCATTTTTCTATTTCAATAAAATTCCTTTTGTTTTATGGTTGTTCGTAGCTAATTTTTGTTTGTCAGGGCGATGTTTTGAGCCTTAGCATGAATATGTAGTTCTTATTTAATTGCTTATGATATTATTCAAGCATATTTTGAATTATTAATCATTGTGCTTTAAACTGTCTCTATATCTTAATACTTCGCTACCATTAGACCATCTCCAATAGTGGGCTACATGCTAAATTATCTCCCAAATTCCCCCCAAACACTCTCCAACCCATGCTAAAACTTTGGGCTAAATGCCAAATGCCAAAGCTGGGCCAAATTCCCCCCCTGCGAGTGGACTTGTGGGTTGTTGGGCCAGTCTCGGCCCGCCCACGCTCCAACGTGCTCTACGCGGTGCGCTTGCAAAGGTTTCCTAACAGGGGTGGGCCCCGCTGTCAGGCATGTGTCGGCCACCCACAAAATCCCAACGGTTATGTCAACTAAAAGCAGCCATGAGTATTGGATGGCTAGTGAAGTTAGGTTAGTCAACTTTCTTTATGTAAATTAGGCAAGTTAGGTAAGTTAGGCAAGTTAGGCAAGTTAGGCAAGTTAGGCAAAGTTAGGTCATATGTCTTCTTTCTTTCCCTATATATATGTTCATCTTGTAATGAGAAATAATCATCTAATATATAAAGGAATTAACTCTATTTTGGCATGGTATTAGAGCCATTCTGATCCAAACAGAGTTTCTATTCTGATTCACTTACTGGCACTACTGCCATCTACCCAATAAGACCTGTTATTCTGCAGGTCTTCTACTTTCATACCAACCCAATCTTACTCTTTTTTTCATTTGGCCATATCTACCAACATTATTACCCATATCCAGCTTGTTAACCATACATATTCCGCTGCATCTTTTCCTATATTCTTCCCATTTGCAGTATCTCTGCAAAACCCAGAAATCTTTACACAAAAAAAATATACTACCCAATACCCCATAAGCCATACCCGTTGGAATCACCCAACAAATTTACCCATAACCTCTGAGGCAGTAATAATGGGTGACTCCAAGACCACTGTTTCAGCTACTGTTACTCAAAGTGATATGTCTCTACATATCACCCCAGACAAGTTGGATGGGTCTAACTATTCCTCATGGTCCCAAAGTGTCCGCATCTACATCACTGGCAGAGGTAAATGGTCTTATGTCAGTGGAACAAAAATGGCACCAGCAGAAGCTGATGCATTGTATGCTATATGGGAGGAAAAGAATGCCATGGTTCAATCTTGGTTACTCAACTCCATGACCAGAGATGTACGGGCCATTTTTCTCCGACTCTCTACTGCAAAAGATGTTTGGGATGCTGTTACCCAAACTTACTCAATTGAAAAAGATGCATCAAAGTTATACGAACTTCGCCGTCAAGCACTGGTGACTCGCCAGAATGGAGAACCTTTATCTGCATATTATGGTAAACTTCAGCAAATATGGCAAGAAATTGATTTCTTACGTCCTGGAAAATTGAAATGCGCTGATGATATTGCTACCCGAGAGACAGAAATTTCGGAAGAAAGATTGTATGATTTTCTGGCTGGTCTTGATCCTCATTTAGATCATGTTCGCAGTCAAGTTTTGACTCAAACAACTCTGTCTTCTGTTCGTGCTGCTTATGCTCTTGTGAATGCTGAAGCAAGTAGGCAAACCATTATGTTGGTTGGCCCACAAGTGGAAGGATCTGCCATGGTAGCTGCTCCGTCTCGATTTCCCCGTGGAGTCTCTAATTCTCGATTAGGTGGATCCAAAACTACTGATACAAGGAAGTGTACTTATTGTGACAAGGATAAGCATACTAGAGACACTTGCTTCAAGCTGCATGGATATCCTGATTGGTGGGTTCAAAAGAAGGAAAATCAAAAGAAAGGCATTGGTGGATCACAAGCACACCTGACACCAACGCCTTCCATACCTCGGGTGGATCAATCTGCTCACTTAGTTTCTCCAACTACTGCTTCTACTTCCTTAGTCGATGCAGGTAACTTTGGTTTTGCCTTGAACACTACAATTGTTCCTCCCAATAAACCTTGGATCATTGATTCAGGAGCTTCTGACCACATGACCAATAACTCTACATGGTTTGTTTCTCACACTACTCCACCTTTAAATACAGTTAAAGTTGCTAATGGAATTTCTACTCCAGTGCTTGGAGCATGCTCCATCTCATTAACACCAGGCTTATCTCTCTCATCTGTTTTACATGTTCCTAAACTTTCTCACAATTTTCTTTCCATTGGTAAACTTACAAATCAACTAAACTGTCTTGCCATCTTTTCTCCTACCCATTGTTGGTTTCAGGATATTCGAACGAAAGCATTGATTGGTCATGGTAGAGAGAGGGGAGGTCTATACTACTTGGATTTACCACCAGATTGTGAGAAGACAAGTTACAGTTGTCAAGTGGAGGCCAAACAATTTGAAGCTTCTGAAAAAATTTGGTTATGGTACAAAAGATTGGGACACCCTTCCTTTCAGTACCTGCAATATCTATTCCCTTCTTTATTTTCTAAAGTCAAGGTTTCTGATTTCCATTGTGAAACTTGCATTCTTTCTAAAAATCATCGTGTCTCATTTCCTTTAAGTTCCCATAAAAGTAATGTTCCTTTCTCTCTTATTCATTCTGATGTTTGGGGACCATTTCATATTCCTACTTATACTGGTGCTAAATACTTTGTTTCTTTCATTGATGACTGCACTCGAGTTTCTTGGGTATACTTACTAAAAAATAAGAGTGAGGTTATGTCTATTTCCAATCTTTCATCAAATGATTCAAACCCAATTTCATGCTAAAATTCAAGTCGTTCGATCTGATAATGGGAAAGAATATTTGAATTATGGACTTGGAACATTTTTTCAACAACACGGTATCATTCATCAAACATCTTGTCCACATACTCCTCAACAGAACGGTATAGCAGAACGTAAAAATCGTCATCTCTTGGATGTGGCTCGCTCTTTATGTTCTGCTATGCACGTTCCTAAACGTTTTTGGGGCGATGCCATTCACACAGCTGTTTTTCTTATCAATCGCATGCCATCATGTGTTCTCCAATTTCAAACACTTATCCAAACCCTTTCCCAATATCATTCTCTTCCTTCACTCTTTCATATTCCTCCAAAAGTGTTTGGTTGTGTCTGCTACGTTCACGTCCCCATGCAAAATCGGCATAAGTTGGATCCTAGAGCCATCAAATGTGTGTTTATTGGCTATTCTGCTACTCAGAAAGGGTATCGATGTTACTATCCTCCCACTGGGAAATTTTTTGTCTCTATGGATGTTACCTTTCGGGAACACGAGACATTTTTTTCAAAAGAAGATTTGGCCACTTCTCTTCGGGGGGAGATATGGAGTAAGGAGGAAGAGAAGTTGCCGCTTGACATTGGTGATGAACAATTGTCTGATGTCGGTGATGGTGCAAATTTGCCTAATGATGAGGCACAAGGTGAAAAAATATTGAAAGTGTATGAGAGGACAAGAAAAAAGGGATGATGAGATAGACTACCCACAGACAGATCCTCACATTGACCAACTCTCTGACCAATCAGCTGCTACTCGTACGAATTATCCTGAGGTAACCACTCATTCTCCCTCTCTTCAGCCTACTATATTTGATGAGTCCAATCATGAGATTTCATTAAGTGATGATCCAAATGATTCAAATGAACCACATCGTGAGTCTCAGGGTTCTCGTTATCCTATTCGAGAAAATCGAAGGATACCCCATGTTCGTTATGGTCATTCTTCTACAAAGGGTATTCAATATCCTATATCTAATTTTGTTTCATCTCATCGCTTGTCAGACTCTTATATATCTTTTGCAAACCAATTGTCATCAGTCTCAGTTCCTAATAAGTTACAGGATGCTCTTAAAGATCCAAAATGGAAAAAGGCTATGATTGAAGAGATGGAAGCGCTTCGAAAAAACTCCACTTGGGAACTGGTTGCACTTCCTGAAGGCAAGAAACCTGTTGGGTGTAGATGGGTGTTCACAGTGAAGCATAAAGCTGGTTCAGTGGAGAGGTACAAGGCTAAACTGGTAGCCAAAGGTTATACTCAAACCTATGGCATTGATTATTAGGAGACATTTGCTCCGGTAGCAAAGATCAACACTATCAGGGTTCTTATGTCATTGGCAGCAAATCTAGGGTGGCCTCTACGACAGTTTGATGTAAAAAATGCATTTTTACATGGAGATTTGGATGAAGAGGTATACATGGATCTTCCTCCAGGATTCACTACCACTTGCGATATTGGCAAAGTATGCAGGTTAAGAAAGTCCTTGTATGGATTGAAACAATCACCAAGGGCATGGTTTGGCAGGTTCGCTCAATCAATGAGAAGTTATGGGTTCAAGCAAACTCAAGCTGACCATACCTTATTTCTTAAGCATGATAGAGGTAAACTTACAACCTTAATTGTTTATGTGGATGATATGGTGGTTACAGGTAATGATGTCGAGGAAATTCAAAAACTTCAAAAGTATCTAGCCAAGGAATTTGAAATGAAGGACTTGGGTACTCTGAAATATTTCTTGGGTATTGAAGTTGCAAGATCAAAGCATGACATTTTTCTTTCTCAAAAGAAATATGTTATAGACTTGTTAACTGAGACTGGGATGTTAGCTTGTAAACCTGCAGACACACCAATTGAGCAAAACCATAGATTGGGAGACTATCATGATCAAGTTCTCGCTAACAAGGAAAGGTACCAAAGATTAGTTGGGAGGTTGATTTATTTGTCTCATACACGACCTGACATAGCCTATGCTGTAAGTGTAGTGAGTCAATTTATGCACAGGCCAAGTGAAGCCCACATGGATGATGTACAACGCATTCTCGGGTATTTGAAGTTTGCCCCTGGAAAAGGCTTGATGTTTTCCAATCACGGACATCAAGAAGTTGAAGGGTACACTGATGCAAATTGGGCTGGGTCAGTAACTGATCGCAGATCGACTTCTGGATACTTTACATTTGTTGGAGGAAATCTAGTTACTTGGCGCAGTAAGAAGCAACATGTAGTGGCTAGATCCAGTGCCGAAGTTGAATTTAGAGGTATGGCACATGGTGTGCAAGAATTGTTATGGCTCATGACTTTGTTGAGAGAATTAGGTTTTAATTCTGCAAAGCCATCAAAACTTTATTGTGATAACAAAGCTGCCATTAGCATTGCTCATAATCCAGTTCAACATGATCGTACTAAACATGTTGAAGTGGATAGGCACTTTATCAAGGAAAGGTTGGTTGATGGTACCATTAACTTGCCTTATGTGAAGAGTGATGACCAGCTAGCAGATATTTTAACAAAGGCAGTGTCAAGTAGGATTTTCCATCTTTCACTCAGCAAGTTGGGCATTCGAGATATTTACGCACCAACTTGAGGGGGAGTGTCAACTAAAAGCAGCCATGAGTATTGGATGGCTAGTGAAGTTAGGCTAGTCAACTTTCTTTATGTAAATTAGGCAAGTTAGGTAAGTTAGGCAAGTTAGGCAAGTTAGGCAAAGTTAGGTCCTATGTCTTCTTTCTTTCCCTATATATATGTTCATCTTGTAATGAGAAATAATCATCTAATATATCAAGGAATTAACTCTATTTTGGCAGGTTATAATTTTGATCCTATGGCTGGGCTTTAAGGACTGTTGGTTGATCCAACGGTCCAGATTCAAATTTAATTTTTTTAGAATATGTTATTTTAAATACATTGAATCCAACGGCTGAGATTGAATATAATAAAATCTAACGGTAAAAAAAAATCTAACGGCCCAAATTTAAATCCAACGACTAAAATAATTAAAAAATGATTTAACTCAAAATTCACCCAAAATTTAGTGATTTTTCAATATTTATCAGAATTTATTTTTTTTTAAATTAAAATGTTCACAAAATTAATTTACGATAGTCTACATATTTATTTATTTATTTTAAATTTTATTTAAGAAAAAAAGCCTAAGTTCATTCTTTAATAATCCCGGGCTAAAATTTTAGGCCAAAACGGTTGGAGCAGAAAAGTTGTTTCTGGGCTAAAAGCTAAATTTTCCGAGCTAAAATATTTGGATTTTAGCCCAACCATTGGATATGGTCTTAGAATGTTAGATAAGTAATCGGATACAATTCGGTCGGAATGCCACCGGGGAATTGAGTATTGCTTCTTGTGATTGATAGTTGTAATTTCACCTAGAGCAAATGCCACATCTTAGGGATTGCATGGTTTTTCAAAGGGTTTTCACAAAACGTAATGAGTCATGCATGCTTATATTTGATCTGAATGCCACAGATAGATTGCATGTTTGATATACGTTCTAGCTTGAAAGTCACAAGTAGAATATGCATAAGGAAAACCTAACCTTCAAAGTTGCATGGGTAATTCATAAGTAATTGATAAATCTATATAGGATTATTAAAGGGACGACGAAACCCTAGACTTTTACAATTTGGTTTTCAAAACGTTTTCTTTTGTTTTCTTTTCTTTGTCAATTTATTTAATTGTGTTAATTTAAAATTCGCTTTTATTATTTTAAGTCATAAAATCACCTTTTATCAAACTTTGTTTTCAAATAGTTAATTAAGAATTAGTTTAAATACAAATTATTTATTGAATTCCTGCGGAAAATGACCATAGTTGAGCAGTTTATACTACAACTACCTTATTCTTTTGCAAATATTTTTTTAGTGTTTTTATCCCTAAAAAGTAGGTGGTAAACATACCATCAACAATCAACACCAAAAATGCCAGTGCTGGGTACAAGAAGAAGGGGAAGATGAAGATGGCAGAGATCTGACTCTCAGACCTCCTTTCTCCCTCCCTCAAAACCAACAAACCCAGCAACAAAAACAACAAAACGATGACGATCAAAAAGCAGAAGAACAAGAAGAAGGGGAAGATGAAAACAGAGTACAAGGCCGTGGCCGAGGGAACTGGACGATAGTGCTGTCGTCGAGCTTGGTGGGTCTGCTCACCAGAATCGGCCTCGTCCTCTTCAAACACTCTGTATGTTTGATTTTTACCCATTACTCAATAGTCCATATTTGCTTTCCTTGCTTGCTTGTTTGCAAAGTTTTGATCTTTTATCTGAAATTTTACACAAATTGTAAATGTTCATGAGATACATTAACATTGTAGTCTGCTAGTGATCTTTACATGCTTTTGTTATTCATTGTGAGGATGTTGAAGATTTGTCTCACATAGGAATGTGTCTTGTCCATCTGTTTGGTTTGAGTGCTGCAACATGTGACAGGGAACGTGAGGATATGAAAAACTGTCCCAGGTCGGAAAGTCGATGAACCTTGCATAGACTTACAAGGAGTCGGGCTACTCCCCCATTTTCAATTTGGGGTGGAACCTCAACTTCCATCACTCATTGCCTATTTTTGCTTTGCTTTTTTCTTGCTTGCTTATACATAAAGTTTTGAGCTTTTTCTGAGATTTTGATATGAATGGGAAGGTTCATGAGATACATGATGTGTTCTGGGGTGGGATGCCGCAAAGGGGAGCTTCGTGGCTGAGGGAGGAGTTTATGGGAGATACGTGGAAGCAGGTGATTCTGGCTCCAGCTTCTGGGGGGGGTTTAATCGTTGCCATATTAAACTTGCTTCGAGATGCTCTCTGAGAATGGTTCACAAGATAACAATGGCAATGAGCAAGGAGGAGAAAAGGGAGAGACTTTATTAGTGAAAATGGGAATGCCTGTTTCGGTTTTTTATGGTCTCAAGGCTGCATCACGTCCTTTTTTCAAGGCAATTGCTGCTTGTGTCACACTTGGCGTTGAAATTGGAACTTCTGTAGCCAAGGGCATTGGTGCTGTGTTTGATAAAAGTTTATAAAGCAGGCTCTCTCTTGTGGCTGCCGGATCAGCTGCTGGATTTGCTTCTGGTTGGTATTCAGTTTTGTGTATGTCTGTGCTGCCCTTATCAAGACATGTTTGCCCTCATTGTAATTGTTGCTGTTCTGTTTTGACAGGGTTTAATGCTGCTGTTTCTGGTTGTTTCTTTGCCGCAGAGTTAGTCCTATGGCCATCACCACCAGATTCCTCATCCATTTTGCTTGCGAATACCACTTCTATGGTCATATAGTGCTGTGATAGCTTCTGTAGTTTCAGAAGTTGATCTTGGTTCTGAAGCAGCCTTTAAGGTCCCATACTATGACTTCCGTTCACCAACGGGTACACTATCAGTCGTCTGTCGATTCTTTAAAATTATACACATAAAACCTTATGTGCAAGTGAACAAAACATGGTTCTTTTATTTAAATAATTTCTAAAATTGACTAAGGCATCAATACATAATCTCTGAGTATTTACTTGTTCCTGGTAATGTGATTTCCCTTTACTGAATATGGTTTCTGAATTTTACCATTATTTGGGTAGTTGGATTTACATTGCATATTCCAAATGGGTAATTTTTCAGGCATACCTTTAGTATATCTAGAGGTTGATGTTCAAGTTATTGTTTAAAGCTGCGGTTTTAATAATGAGACGTATTCGAATCATGTTCAGAGCTTCCGCTATATCTATTGCTGGGTGTCCTATGTGGCTTGGTTCGTTAACCTTATCAAAGTGCAAATCGTACATGTTGGTATTTGTTGACAATCTGCACAAGACTGTTGGCCTACCAAAAATTTTGTTCCCTATCGTGGGTGGCTTGGCTATTGGGCTGATGGCATTGGCATATCCTGAAATTCTTTATCCGGGTTTCAAGAGTGTTGACATTTTGCTGGAATCTCGACCACTTGAGAAAGGCCTCTCAGCTGATCTGTTGCTTCAGTTGGTAGTGGTCAAGATAGGTGCAACCTCATTGTGTCGAGCCTCTGGATTAGTTGGAGGCTACCATGCTCCATCACTTTTTATTTGTGCAGCAACAGGAATGTCATACGGCAAAAACATCAGTTCTGCAGTTGCTCAGTCCAATCCTATACTTCATCTTTCTGTCTTGGAAGTAGCATCATCGCAAGCATACGGCCTGGTAATGTTTTATTTTTTTCCTATATATTATGTTTAGACTTTAGGCTCTTATTATCAGAAGTAAGTTGTTTCCTTTGATCGCCTCATTTTTGCTATTTAATTAGTCCCTGAAACTTGTTGTATCACTTGATGTGCATGGAAAAATCTATTAAATAAAACATTAGGGATCTCTTGGCCAAAACCACAGAACTGGCCCTAATAATTGATATAATAATTAAACATCGACACATAATGTAATGCATTCTTAATTGGAGCTACAACCTTGTATGGTTTCCATTATTTTGTAACTGTATATGTTGGTTTGGCGTATGTCACTGGCTACTCTACATTGAAGCGTGCAACTCCGGTGAATTTCTCGAATTTTATCAAGTACATGCCAATTTTATGTGCTCTCAACTATTTTTTGGTATGAATAGTTGCACCTTCTTATTTGCAAATGCTAAGAATAGTTGTTCACGTGCACGTAAAATGTAAGTTATTAATACATAGATATTGAAGTTGAGCATGAATCCGGTGGTATGTGTGATGGAATGGATTTTTCATGGAAAAGAGTTTCCAAGGGAAGCCAAGATAACCTGGCAAATGTGTATCTTCACGTGTTCTTTACACATCTAAGCTATTACTAGCAAAAAGACCCACGTGATGCTGCGGGTGTTTAAAATATTGTGAAAATATACAATAGAAGACAGAGGTTATAGAAGTTAGATTTTATAGCTAAGTTCTTTGTTATCAAAAGATTGGTTGCTCACTGTTCAAAAGATAATTTCAATATGGACAAAGTCTAACGTCTGAAATCAATCAAATTAAAAAGGTCTCGCAAACGTAGGCGCAGTACTGCTGTGTTTGTCTAGAACACCATATAAACAAAGTTTATATTCTTATAATCATATATACATGCATGGTACCAATATATGTAAGCATGCTGAGATTAATAAAGATCCTCAGTTCATTACTCCGAGCATACGAAATCAGGTCTGTAACAAACCTCAGACGGAAGGAGAACTTGTCATAAATTATTTCGTTGAAACTTGTGACAGCAATGCATAAAGAGCGCTTTAATCAACAAAGTATCTGCAGAAGCTCAGCATAAAACACGATGGGGATAGAAGTAAGCAACTTTTTGTAATATCAAGGTTTAATCCGATGCCATACATACCATACACCCACACTAATACAAAGAGAGTGCTTTATATATATATCCTCTCAAAATTACCTCAATATACCCCTTAATTTAAAACAGAGTGAATTGCACTATATGCAATTGAAAAATAAAGAAAAATTAGCAAGTCAAACGAAGAAAAGATGGATTCAAGCTGTCCATTATAACACATAATACGAATTACTGATGTGCATGAGCATATCAGTTTAAGACAGTCACTATCACATACATTTAAATTGATTTTTCACAGACATGATCTTTATAAAACGAATATGTGTTCAAGTAGCAAAGGAGCAATCCATAGTTTAATGTTTCATAAGAAACCCATGAATACGTATGAGCATAGTTGGTTTCGTATGACATGCAGCATTCAAGGTGTTTGTTACCAATTTTGCGGTTCCATTGGGAAGTATTTGTACATTGAAATATAAAAAGTTAAGTATACAGACTCTATACCTCTCCCAAAGTAATGCTTGGAATGCAACTGATGAAGAAAAGTGCCATGTAAGTTCTATTTGAGAGCAAACACTTTGTGATTTGTACAAAGTCTTTTGGGACGATAAGGAGATTAACTTTATCACATGTGGCAGACTTATAAGGAGTTGTATTACTTAGGTATACAAGTCAGAAACATTCTTAGATAAACTAGAACTCTTCTAGCTGATTTATGCACAAGTAATCTTCGGTGATAAAGTTCATCTTTGATAGGGTTTACTTAATGGGAGGACTCCTAATCAAAGACCATCACCTATAGTATATAACTGAGGTCCCTGTGCTCTCACTAAATACCTGCAAGTATACAGAAATCCTCAAGCCCCATTGAGTGAGCCTTGCTTCCGGACAGTGCAGAGACACAGAAGAGCCTCAGTTCTTTACCCTATTTCTGAGACGATGTCTTCCTCAGGTTAGTGGTTAGATTGGTATATGAGTCAGTCGTTATATATGTATATAACCTAAAGAATTAACTTACATGCCACTCTTTACCTATCGTCCTGTAATAATCAACAAATTGAAATTCAAGAACAAAGCCTGTCGTATAAGTGGTTCAATTAACAAATGGTTATGTGTTATGTGGAACAGTACATTTCTCATCGATGACCCCAACCACTCCTCCACGTTTGCCTCTGCATACTCCTCCTCCGCTGCTGCTGCTCTTTTCCTTCCATGAAAACAACTAATCCTCTCCTCCTCTGGTTCAAGCCTCGAGTAGCCTATTACCACCCAATTTGACACAACCTGGCCGGAATTGAGCTCGCCGCCTCTGTAAATTCGTCGGAAAACGCAGCAGTTAGGATTTGAACTGAAAATCATAAATTTGAGGCAGATATTCACATGCAATAAGTGCAGAATGTACCTGAGTTATAAGGAGTTGGTTAAGACCAACCTCGAGGCTGGCCGTCGCCGAAATCGTAGAAGTCGTCGCCGGCCGATTGAACCATCAGAGAGAAGGCAGTGGCGAGTGAGTTCTAGATAGAGAAACTGGCTCAGAGGAGGAGAGGAGAGAAGGAGTTTTAGAGGGTGGGTATTTTAGAGAGAGAACGAGAGAAGCCAGAGACTGGCGGAGAGCATCGAGCTAGAGGAAAGAGAGAACGGAGAAAGAAGAATAAGAAAATATAATAAAAAAAAAATATACAGCACGGACACAATCGGAATTAACGTTAAGCGAGAACACTGTAGAATGAACGGTGATTTAGTTCAATTTTCACATTAAATTTACAGATAAAATTTGTAAATTAAATTATATGAAAGTTAATAGTTTGATTATTTAAGCATTGATAAACGTGATCATTCTTATTGATGACATATTATTTAATTTGTAAATTTAATTTACAAATTTAATCTCCCTAGTATTATCTTTAGTATATGTATTATTAACAAAAAAATTATTTTGCAAATCATTAAGCTCCTCACACCTATAAATAATGAACATTAAGTTATACGTATATACAAATAATCATGACCATAGTAGATAATATTAAAAGATAAATCAATAAATAATGACATACATGTCGAGCACATTTATGAGCCTTCTCCACTATTTCAAAATTAGGAGCTTCGTGTTTTCTTGTGGAAGACGGTTCATAACGCGTTGGCAACGTTGGCGGGCCTTTTTAGGAGGTTGGTGGCGCCATCTCCTCTGTGTCCTATTTGCAAAATCCACGAGGAGACCATTGAACATCTATTTCTGCTCTGTCCGTGGGTTGAGGTGATTTGGTTCGGTGGGATGTTGAGTCACAGAATTATTCGTAGTTCTATTTCTTCTTGGGTGAATTGGCTTGTCAACATCACTAATATCACTTTGAATTCGAAGGCTGAGTTGGATCGGGTGTTATCTTATGTGGCTTTTACGTGTTGGCACATTTGGAAGAGTAGATGCAATTTCCTTTTTCAAAATGGATCTATTAACCCCAGGAATGTGCTTGCTGCCATCGACACCTCTGTTAGTGCGTTCAGTGAAGCTTCCAGAAACAAGGTGATTAGACCTTCCATGCCCAACCCAGCTGCTCAAGTGCCTGCCCGGTGGTGTCTCCCACCTCCTCCTTTCGTTAAGATCAATGTCGATGCAAGTTGGGAGCAGGGTACATTCTCGGGCTTCTCGGGGGTTGTGGTTAGGGACTCGGCCGGAACCTTTATCGCGGCTAGGAGAGGTTGCTTTGCTGCGCATTCTGCGGCAGTGGTTGAGGCCATTGCGATCCGCCACGGCTGTGAGTTGGGTGTAGCTATGGGATTTAATTTGATTGTGATCGAATCTGATTCCCAGGATTCTATTTCTTACCTTATGGGTAAGACTTCAAATGGCAGGTGGGAGGCTTTTCCGGTGTTGACGAAATGTAAGCTGATTGGAAACTCCTTTCAAGACTGTCGCTGGTCTTGGATTCCAAGATCAGCCAATTTGGCGGCGGATTGTTTGGCGTCGCGTAGAAATAGGGAGATGTGTGATTTTACTTGGGTCAATAGGCCTCCATCTTCTTTGGTTCATGTTTTATGTAATGATGGACTCCCTTGTCCTCCTTGAGTTTGCTTGGTAATGGGAAGGGGGACGCGGGTTGTTGTTTGATGCGTCTGGGTATTTCTTCCCCTTGCATTACCAGGTTGTCTCTGCTGTTTGCCTCTGGGTAGGCTTCTGTTGTTCTTGTGGCTTCTGTGCCCTGGTTTAATCGATTCCAGTTTATCCAAAAAAAAAAAAAATTAGGAGGATTATGCTTTGTAGAGCTTAATTCTTTTCTATTATTAGACCCTACCATACGACCTTTGTGAGATTTAAATTTGAATTATTTTCAATTATTGTTTCCTTTAGCCAATATTTTGAGTAATTATGTGTGGATGGATGGTAGTATTTTTGAACTTATTTTACTGACAGTTAGCTGTCTGAATTATTAATTGGTCTAAAAGCAACAACTAAAGTAACAAAAACAAATAAAAGAGCAGCAAATGCGTGTTAGCTCATGCAGACAGGACAGTATGTTTATATCTTTGCATATAAGTTTGAATATCGCCCCTTGTAAACCACAACTAGTTGGTAAAAGATCCCAAACACAAATTTCCAAAACCGCAAAGTTTAATAATGCTGAAGGTTATACATACATCTGACCACATTATTGACATAAATCTGACTGCATTGTTGACATACATCCGATCGCTTTATTAATCACATCTCTTTCAAAAGCGAAACTCAGTGCAAAACATACATGTATTGTAAATATAATATGTCAGATTGCTCACCATCTTCTCCACCGACTCTTAGTTTAACCAAAGAAAAGACAGAAGAAGAAGATAAAGCAAAGGTTTGTATTGTATTACTTCCACGCTGGCTATAAAAATCAAGTTTGCAACTTGCAATTTGTTACTTGATTAAATTATTAATCCTGCTTTAGAAAAGAGTAACTAAATAATTAATTTTGATTAATTTTTAATCCAATTGGAATTTGCAATGCAGGAACACGTAAAGAGAGATGTTGCCCCTCTTTTAAGGATGGAAAAAGGAACGATGGTGGAGTGATTAGCAAGTTCATGTTTTAGATTTGTCAACTTGTACAAAGTGGAAAAACAAATACGTGCACATAGAGATAGGTACTGGTGAAAGCCTGAGAAGGAAGCTATTTAGAGAGAAAGTTACAATTTAGAAATTAGAGTGATTTGTTTATCGGATATATGACATGTTAGGTTATTAGATTGTAAGCTACAACTGTATATTTAAGCATTGTTCCGTAAATTCGTCTAAGAGGAAACCTAATTCATAATCTAAGCACCCCCATTAGATTATCTACTCTTATCATGGTCAACAAGCAGCTTATGTACCCGACAGCATAGTGTTTGTGTTTGGTACGCTACTGTGACATATTGGACTATAATAAATGAACAAAGACGTAACATGAGTGCTATGCTGACCTACCAGGTATAGGTTAGCTATCTTTGTCAAGATTAAGTTTTATTGGGATTCGGATCCAATTTGGAACCTCTTTGTGAGGATCCTAAGGATTCTCACTTCCTATCCGTTCATCATACATCATGCGGTCATAAATTATTTTGAATTTTTTATTTGAAATTAAATACAAACAATATATCTAACGAAAGCTGGTTGCATGATGTACGATTAATGGATAGGATGTGAGAATCCCTAGGATTCTCACAAAGAGGATCCGAAGAGGATCATTTTCATTAGATGGTCTGCTGATCAGAGTTGAATGATCAGGATCCCCTCCAGATCTTGATTGTGAGGATCCTGGATCAACCATCCTAGCCACTCACCACACATCCTACAGCAATAAATCATTTGAATTTTTAATTATTTCTACATGGCATAATAATTTTCAGCTGCAGGATATGTGATGAGCAGCTAAGGTTGATTGATCCCTACGATCCTCACAATGAGGATTCGAAGGGAATCATGACTCTCCTACTTTGGCCAAGGCACATATATTCAGGCGGAGTTCTGGACTTTCTTAGGACCTTTTGATAGCCTCGGAAATAGAAGTGACAAACTAACCAGTTGAATATTTATTAATGGATAACTATTCATATCTGTTTAGTTTGATTTCACTATAATATGGTAGTAAGATTGATAGTTGTAATGATTGTGTCTATCTTATAATGAAATCAAACTAAATGGGATGAGACTATATAATTCAATGAATTGATTTGTCACTTGTGCTTGGAAAGAAAGATTCCAAATCTTGTTCAATCTCAATTGATGAACAACTATATGCTTAGTTCTCTATGATTTTGTAGTGTAAAATTCAATAATTTCTTTTGAAAATTATAAAAATATCCTTAATCGAAGTTGCTTGGAAATTGTTTGGAAATTTTGAAAGAAACTGATCACTGACTAACTGGAAACCTTTGCAACCGTGAACGCAAAAAGCGTAAAGGGATGGCCCATCCCATGTGCCCCTTCGTACACTTTTATAACTATTCAATTCTCACTCACCACTGACATTACAATTACCCTCTCTCTCTCTCTCATCCCTAACTGCTTTTGTCATTTTCTTTTGTGGCCTCGAGATATCTTCCTCCTCAATTACCAACCGCTCGTTTTCCTCGACAACACCAAAAGCCAATCCAACGGTCCCGTGCATTAATATCTCATACAATACCTTTTCCATTAAATAGTATTCTTTTAGGAAAATATTATTTTCCATGGATTTTCTAGAGGCAAGTGTCTGCATCCTTGACGAGGCTCTACCCAAACGCTCCACGACGGTAAAACAGACAAATTAAATTCCAGTGACTATTTGTTCAAAAAAAAAAATTCCAGTGACTAAACCAATATGAATAAATTCATAATCTTCCAAGAAACGACGTCCTGGATATATAAAACAACTGCAGAATAATTATAGACAGAGTTGCTGACTGTGGTTAAAATTCAAAGTTTTGAAGGTTTTTCATTAGTTTTTTTTTTTTAACTATTAAGATTCGTTTAGTTTGATTGTGTATATCTTATGATGAAATCAAACAAAATGAGTCTGAGACTTTAAAGATTTTTCATTAATAATTTAATGAGTTGATTTGTCACTTGTGCTTGGAAATACAGATTCCAAATCTTGTTCAATCTCCATTGGTGAACAATTATATTTTCAGCCCTCTATAATTTTGTAGTGTGGAATTCACATTTTTTTTTTTTTGGAAATTATTGAAATGTTCTCAATCGAAATTGCTTGGAAATTGTTTGGAAATTTCTTGAAAGAAATTGGTGATAGAAATGTTCTCAATCGAATTGCTTGGAAATTGTTTGGAAATTTCTTGAAAGAAATTGGTGACATACTAATCAAGGAAAATTCAAAACAGTGTGGGATTCTCCAAGCAAACGCTAGTTGCGACTTCTTCGAACCATGTTGAGATTCTCGCCCTGCATGAAGCATCATGTGAGTGTTTTTCGTTGAGAGCAATCATGGAATATATTCGAAGCACTAGTGGTCTTACTTCTGTCGTTGACCTTCCTACGACGGTCTTTGAAGACAATGCAACATGTATTGAGCAGTTAAAGAAGGGATACATCAAGGGAGATAACACCAAGCACATAACGCTGATATTCTTTTATTTTAGTATCTCTAGTATTCCTTTTAGGAGTTGATTACTTATTAAGAGTTGTAATCCTAATAGGGTAAGATTTTTACATATTCTACTACAATAAATAAAGGCATAATAGGATTATACAACACACACCTCACAATTAAATCTCTCTTCTCTCTCTCTTGCTACTGCCAGCCCCCCTCTCTCTACCCCTTAATATAGTTCAATTAAATAAGTCTACAACAAACCTTTATTTTTTCAGAAAAAAAGAAGAGAAAAATGGATTTTAATTCTAGTCAGTGGCTTATAAAGCTATTCATTGTACAAAAGTCAAGGACATAATTACCATGAGATTTTATGACATAATTAAAAGTGTGTGATTGACTTGCAATAACCGTTTTAGTGACTCTTTTGTGGTATATATATATATTTTTTATTTGGTTATGTCTAAAAAGAATAAGCGCGTAAAGGGAGACCCCATACTATGTGCCCCTTTTATGACCATTTACTATTTTTGATTATTACACATTTACTAAGTTGAATATTGGCTGAATGTGTCCTCCACTTGCATTAGGAAACTTCCTCGCTTGCGGAGGAGCTGGATTCATTATTGGGATGTGCTATCCACACTTCATTTTTTACTTCTCATATACCTCTGGTTAATTTATGTCCGTTGATTTTCTTCAATTCATCCGATTTGACAGTCGAAAACTAAAACAAAGTAGGAGAAGTAAAAAAAAATGTGTGGATATCACATCCATTCGTTCTTAATTTCACCTTTCTTTCTTTATGTCCTCGACCGGGATATATTATAAACTTTTCTTCTGAAAGTGCTTGCGCAATTTCATCTTTATATTTTTCTATGTTTTTCTTGTGTGTAATCTCTGATGATTTTCTCGGAACGTGCATATACTTTTATTGAAAGGTGCCTTACAGTAAATGTTTTTGGACAAAATTTTCTTTTTATTAAGCATATTTAAAAGAAGGGCAATGTTATGAGATTGAATTTGAAAATAAAATGGTGTGTCACCACATTTGTCAACTCATAAGTAATAAATCAATCATCAACTTCCATATCATTTAGTTTTCAAAATTTTATTTACAAATTTATCTCTTAGCATTACCTTTAGTCGAAAATTTTAAAGTAGTAGCTTTATCAATTATCGAAAAAAAAATTAAATACGTGAAAGTGACTAATCTTTGTCACTCCAAATTTTCGAGAAATTTTTCATTGTGCTAAAAATACTGATAATACACAACTTGTCATTATATAAGTTTAGGAAAACTTTATTTTTTAAAGGTTTAGTTTTTAGGGTAAGTTCTGGGCTCTCTTATGACCTTTCAATAATCCTAGAAAGACAGATTCCAAATCTTAGGCAATATTCTAATAGTGAAGGACCATATTCTTAGCCCTCTATGATTTTTTTAGTATGCAATTGACTTGTTTTTGTTTTTTAAGAATTATAAAAAGGTATTAGATCAAAAGTGTTTCGAAATTTCTTAAAAGAAATTAGTCACTAATTGAAAATATTAAAAATTCTGCGTAAAAGAAATTAATCACTAATTAAGAAGGTTAAAAATTTGTACGTAAAACGTGTAAATATACCAATTGAATGAGAAAGTGCTTGCTTTTTCTTTTTGTTTTTGTATAATTACAAGCAATGACGGACAACTAAGTGCGTCACCTTACTGCTACGGTTGGATGCTCTGCTGATTAAAGATGAAATGAGTAGATGGAGCAACCAAGTTAAATTTGTAGATAAAAAGCGCATAATGCCGGGAAGGTGGGCCTACTGGCTACTGTATGCTTGCCACTAGCCAGAAGCCACTACCATAAAGCCTGTGTGTTTGCCACAACCATAAAGCCCGTGGGAGCATTATCAATGATCAAATATTCTTTAAAGTAACTTTGTCCCCATAACGTAATAATGACTACGAATTGATTGTATGCAAGTTTTCAACATTATTGTCATCGCCATCGGAACTTTGTTTTACATCAACTGCAGACCTTTACCATATCTTCTTCGTCTTCTGCGGCCGATTCTGATGTAGCTGATTTCTAATTGGTTGGTTTCGATGGCAAGCTGATAAACTCTTTTTAATAATTATATATACATTTTGAAAATACGTGTCATCACAGGAATGTTACATTGGCATAAAAGTTACTCTGATATGAATAACATGATTAATCACTTCCACACAAGTTTTTCTTGCTTACTTTCCAACTAAGTTCTAGGCCTTCTTATGAGACTAGGATTATCTCCCCTCCTATTTTCATCATCTTTCATCTTCTCCTCTTACATTCTCTTATTTTATCTTTCTCTTGCTATAAAAAATTAATATAAGATGTTGACGTAGCTTAACCGTGATTGTACAATTAGGAGGTGAGGGAAGGGGAGGGGAAAAAAAGAGATGAGAGAATCCCGCTTCCTTCTTATGACCTCTCGATAGTCTATAAAAATAGATTCCAAATCTTAGGCAATCTCCAAAAGTGAAGAACTATATTCTTAGCCCTTTGTGATTTTGTAGTGTAAAATTGACTTGTTTTTATTTTTTAGGAATTATAAAAAGGTAGTCAATCGATAGTGCTTGGAAATTTCTTTTAAAGAAATTGATCACTAACTGGGAATGTTCAAAGCTTTGTACATAAAACATGCAAAATACGAAAATTGAACGAGAAAGAGCTTTTTTTTTTTTAAAAAAAAAAAAAAAAAAAAACTACAAGCAATATTCTATAGTAGTCTCTATTAAGAGAAGGTGGGAGGGTTTGAATTGACATATAGTTGGTTAAAGAGAAATACCCTCAATCATAAAGCCAATCCACCCCTTACATAATGGTTGAACAAGTACGTAACCTAAGTGCTATGGTGACCCACTAGGTCTAGGTTAGCTGTCTTTGTCAACATTAAGTTTCATTGATGGTTTGCTTATCAAAGTTGAAACTAGTGGATGGAAAATAAGAAGAGTAACGCTAGAGAGACTAAATTTACAAAATAAATGACGTGTTACTAATAAAAAAACACGTTAATCAACGCTTAAGTAATAATCAAATCATCAACTTTCATATCATTTAGTTTACAAAGTTTAATCTACAAATTTAGTCCCCTTAACATTGTCAAAAAAAAATTATGCACGGATGACTTGTGAGTTGTGACTTGTAAGCTTTAGTGAAGGTTAAGAACTCATGAGGATGTGCCCTTTTTTATCTTTCTATTTATGGTGAGATCAAATAAATAGGTTGAGACTCTATAATTCAATAAATTGATTTGTCATTTGTGCTCGGAAAGTTAGATTCCAAATCTTGTTCAATCTCAATTGGTGAATAACTATATTCTTAGCCCTCAGTAATTTTGTAGTGTGAAAATTATAAAAATGTCATCAATTGAAATTGTTTGAAAATTTCTTGAAAGAAACTGATCATTGAACTAGAAAACTTTACAACCGTGCACGCAAAGAGCGTAAAGGGAGGGGCCCATCCCATGTGCCCCTTTTATACTTTTACGACCGTTCATGTGTCCCTCATTGAAATTCCTGAAGCCAATTCGAAAGCTTTGGAAGTAGAAGTGGGCAAATTAATTCATTAAATTATTAATGAATAATTATTAAGATTTTTTTAGTTTGATCTTTAACATAACATAGTGGTGAGATAGATAGTTTTAATGATTGTGTTAGGTAATATTAAACTAAATGAGTTTGAGACTCCAATGACTTGATTTGTTACATGTGCTTGGAAATACAGATACCAAATCTTATTCGATCTCCATTTATGACAATTATATACTTTTATTTTTGAAAAAAATGAGATAACTGGCAATAAGCCCTAACTATTCATCTCTTCTGAGCTTGAAGATGCTATATGAAGCTTTACCCTGCCCATGATTTTGTAGTGTAAGATTCATTCTTTGGTTAAATTTCAAAGTTTTGAAATCTTTTTTATTAGTGTTATTTAATTATTAAGATTCGTTTAATTTGATTTGACTATAATATGGTAGAGAGATTAATAGTTGTAACGATTGTGTAACATCTTATGATGAAGTCAAACAAAATGAGTGTGACTCTAAAGATTTTTATTAATAATTTAATAAGTTGATTTGTCATTTGTGCACGGAAATACAGATTCCAAATTCTGTTCAATCTCCATTGGTGAACAACTGTATTCTCAGCGCTCTATAATCTTGCAGTGTGGAATTCACATATTTTCTTTTGGAAATTCTAGATATGTCCTCAATCAAAACTGCTGGCAAATTGTTTGGAAATTTCTTGAAAGAAATTGGTGAGATACTAATCAAAGAAAATTCAAAACCGTGTGGGCAAAGCGCGTAAAGGGAGGGCCCCATCCCATGTGCCCCTTTCCATGTGCCCCTTTCCATGCTTTAGTAACTGGTCTGTCCATTACCCGTAGCTTTTTCAGAAGAGCCTTTGGGAACTTTGTGTATCTAGTCAAACGCCAATTCAAGTAAAATCTGAACTAGTCTGCCTCTCCCTTTCTCTCGTTTGTTTCATTAGATCCTTCTTAATTCTGAACTAGTCCCTCTCGCTTTATTGTATCCTCCTTAATTTTGAACCAGTCTCTCTTTCTCTCTATTCACAATTAATCTCTCTACAACTACTACTCCTGGATCTGAAAACTAGAGGTTATGGATATGCCTTCTTCTTCTTCTTCTTCTTCGTCATCCGCTGTCGCTCCTGCTGATGAGGATATATTATTTTGAAGGTGAAGTTTTCTTATTTTGAAGGTGGAGAAGACAAACACGCCATTGTCAAATTGGTAACTTGTCAGAGGTTAGTCAGTGTTTAATGTTTACTGATACTGTTAAGGGCTCTTTCTATATCTTTTGTCATTTCTTTTGAAACAGTACTAAAAATTGGACCTATTTTAAAAATTAATATCACACAAAAATTGTACCTGTTTCAAAAGTAGGTTATAAAATTGGACCTATTTCAAATTATCTTTTTTTTTTTTAATTTAATTTAAGTTTTAGTTGTTATGTTGTCGTGTTATGTGCGGATTTACATTTATTTTTTTAATTAATTAATTTTTGTTATGTTCTCTTAACAGATTCTGAATTTCAAAATTCAACCCGGGAAAGAAAACCGGAAGGCAGAGAAGAGTCTCAAGTTTATTTTTTGCATCCTTTTTTTTGTGTGGTGTTTTTTTGGGGCATATAATAATAATGATTTATGTTTTTTGACTATACGAAACATGCAGAAATCGATCAGTTGACGATGATGATACTGATTTTGAGAGGCGAGCAAAGCAAGGAGAAAAGGTTTGCATTTATATCATTTTATGGTTTCAACTACTTTTAGTTTTACATGCTGAAGATGACGTCGTTCATTCACAAGAAAAATGAAAAATATGAATATCTTTCTTTAAATTATAGTTTTTTCAAAGAAAACAATATGTGCCTATTCATGTGCCCCCATTTTCTACTTTTTCGTTATCTCTCACTATTGAAACTTTGTGCCAATTTTACTAAGTAAATTCTCCTTAATTCGGTAAACGTTTAATAATATGTCTCTTTAATAACAATTATATCTCTCTGTGCAACTACATCTTTTTTGCTGGATCTGAAAACTAGAGGTTAATGGATATATCGCGTCTTTCTTCTTCATCCGCTGCTGCTCTGTTTGATGCTGATGTACAAAAAAAGTACGAGTAATTTATTATTAGTTTCAGAGGTGTAGAGACACCCGCAGTACCTTTACCAGCCACCTCACGCTGCCTTACTTGAGAAAAAATCACAACCTATATTTGATGACAAGCTTAAGGGAAAGATGAAAACCACCTGCCTTCTTGAAGCAATCGAGGAATCAGAGCTTTCGGTGATCATTTTCTCGAAAAAAGACTACGCTTCTTCCACTTGTGTTTGGATGAGCTTGTGCATATCCTAGAAAGGAAAACATGGCCAGTTGGTTATTACCCATTTTTACGACACCTTCCATCGGAGTGTCGAAAAACAACGGGGGAATTATGCACTTGATCTACTTGAACAACGTTCGAATAATCAGATCAACGTGCGCAAGTGGAATTCTTTGAGGAATGCACCAGATATTATCAGGAATTTTGATTCAAAAACTTATAGTTAAACTAACTAATTCTTTGACTTGAAAATTATAAATTTTCTTTGAACTTGTGATTTTATTTTGCTACTAGAGTTTGTAAGGTATATATATTTAAGACTAACTATTACTTCCTTCATTCATATATGCTAGGACGGAGCCGACTTAGTTAAGGAAAGTTAAAGTTGGACCAAAGCCCGGAATCATCCTGCAATTTAAAGGGCTATGTTGGAATTGAAGGCCGCATCAAGAAGATCGAATCGCTATTGAGCATTAATTCACCGGACGCTTGCATCACAGTAGGTATTTGGGGCATGGGTGGTATTGGCAAGACCACCCTTGCTGAAACTGTATTTCACAAACTCTCTTCTAAATTCGAAGCTTCTTGTTTTGTTAAGAATGTTAGGGAGAACTCGGAAAAAACAGATGGACTAGATCACTTGGAAAAAACACTTCTTAAGGAGATATTAAAGGAAGAAGGTCTATCCATAGGATCAACTCGTGTTCAAAAAAGGCTCAGCCGCACAAAGGTCCTCATTGTTCTTGATGATGTGAGTAATTCAATGCAAATGGAATGTTTAACTGGCGATCGTCTTCGGTATGGCATTGGAAGTAGAATCATTATAACAAGTAGAGATAGGGGCACACTAAGGCAAACAGTTGAAGAGGGTAATATCTACGAGGTTGAGGTATTAAAACCGGATGACGCTCTTCAGCTCTTCTGTTCGCATGCTTTCAAGAATAACAGAACTCGTAGAATAGATTATCAGGAGTTGGCAGAAAAGGCTATGCATTATGCCAAAGGCGTTCCTTTAGCTCTTACAGTTCTGGGGTCCTTGTTCTTCAATTGCAAAACCAAAGAAGACTGGGAAGATGAATTCAACAAATTGAAACGATTTTTCAGTGGAGATATCCAGAAAGTGTTGAGAATAAGTTATGATAGATTAGAAAAAAATGAGAAGGAGATATTTCTGGATATAGCATGTTTTTATAAAGGGTGGCCTATGCATGAGGTAAAACTAATGTTAGATGTTCGCGGATTCTTTGTGACAGCCGGAGTTAGAATTCTCATTGATATGTCTCTCGTGTCAATTGGTTCAAAACCGGGATGGCAAACCATAGAGATGCATGATTCGCTACAAGAAATGGGAAGGAGAATTGTTCAAGAACAATGTATTAAAGGATCCGGTAAATGGAGTAGTGTTGTATGTAGAGGTTATGAAACAAAGATTTTTGGTGTGACTTTGGCTGTTTAAGACCAATTCGAATAAGAAAGCCTTATGAGAAGATGTATGCTAATTCTTATGTAAAGGATATAGTTATGGCATTAAACTGATATAAGTTAGGAAACATAAGTTGTTTTCTACAAGGATTCTAATAGGGAGTTCTTATGCTATGATGAGAAGGATTATATGTATTTGTATATATAGAGTGGCCTCTCCTCTTGCAGGTTTACGCTCTTTTAAAACTAAGTCATATTCTTAGTTGGAGCAATAAGCATCCTGACAGAGAGAAGAAGAGCTGCTGTGCATTTAGTAAAACTATACAGGTCTTCGCTTCAATAGAACTAGGAACATTCCAAAATTAAGAGAAAAATCATATGTTGCGCTACAAGCCGAAGGAAAAAAAGAATGAAGAAAAAGCGAGATGCATATATAAAGAAATGAAATACAAAAAATACATTACAAGTTCGATGACTGAACTATTTTGATCTGGAAATATTCAATTCTCTCTAGCATCAAAAATTTCTTTCTCCAGTCTTTGGGATATTTGTTATGATTTGACACTTGTCAAAAAATTACATGCACACATAACTTTGCTGCTCAAGAGATGAAAAAATAGAACTTACGAAAAGCTGATGATACTGTCCACTTTAACGAAAAATCATATTTTTACACTAAAAAGTCAATCATGATACTATTCACTTTACCCTTTATTTTGTTCTTATTGTTAAAAAGTCAAGCTCTTTTTATTAGGTTTCCTATGAAAAAATTGGAGAAACATTGAAGTTCTAAGTACCTTTTTATCAGCTTCGATTGCCTCTTTGAATTTTGAGTTCAGTGAGTTAACCTCCTATGTACTCGGTTGGTTTACGATGTTTCTCCAATTATGGTACTCTGGGTGTCTGCTGGTTGGCCTGCTGCTTTTCCTCACTAACTGTAGTATAAACTTTGCCCGACCAAGGAAACCAGTCTGCCTTTGGTCTGCATGTGCCCATGTCTGCCAATAAATATAAGCAACCATTATAAGCTAGAACAGATCCAAACTTCTGTTACAAAAAGATAATGAGAAAGTGCATTCGTATAATCATTAGTTAACATAATATGCCCCCAGTTATCATTTTATATGGAAATTCCTTCAGCAAAACAAGTATACAGCTTCAAGAACCTATTTGTCGATATGATCATGACCCAAGAACATTTCCCCTGTTTGCGACAATGCTAACTATTTCATAGTCATCTTATGCTGCAGGTTTTCACTGCTACATAATTTCATAGTCATCATATAACACATTTCTAAAGTCTGCTTACCACCTAAGGTCAAACGGATACACCGGAAAGTAAATTAATGACCTGATAACATAGCCCTCTCAACCTCCCCTACTGTAGTATAAATCCTTCATCTACTTATTTTCTACCATTTGAACATCAATTCCGTATTTATACTAACACGAAAAAAAAATCTCAGCTTAGATAAGGGAATTAAGACATCCCGATCTCACATTTACCACTTCAACTACAATTAGACTACAAATTCAAAATCAAGCTAATTCAGAACACATTTCCACCAGCATCAAGTCGCTAAAATTATTTCTAAAATTGAACACAGGCTTATTTTTGAAACTAACCACAATTAGCGTCCATTGATTATTTCTTAAAGTAAATATGGTATGACAAGTTATCGGCGGGAACGAGAGCAAGTTATCGGCGGGAACGAGAGCGTAGTTCTCTAGCTCACACATCAATGCCACTGGCAACGGACCAAGATTGTCTCCGCTCATTTTCCCATCCCCTCCTACTTTCTCAACTGTTCATTTCATGCTAAGTTGATTTAAAACTCTAGATTTCGCCAGGTCACCAATAGCACTCATCCCTAATTTTCTTACCTTTACCACCACCACCACCACAGCTCAACCTAAGATAGAGAACAAGTCCATACCCCTCAGGGTTAGAAGAGTCCTCATGAGACATGGCAAAACTCTTTTTCCTGGACAACTGTGACTTACCCAATGACCCACTAGCAGAACCTCCTCCACTCTCCATTGAAACAAACGAAGCTTCCCCCTTACCACCTCAAATCCAACCAAAAAGCTCACAGGATCAGAACCCAGATGGTGAATTTTATACAATTTGCTAGTGGAGTGATTGTATAAAAGAAGAGACAAGGCAGCTTGTAAGGCAAGATAGGAGGGGCCAGGAAATGCGCCGCAATATTGGGCATTAATGAAACGTGAGGGGTGTTGGCAACGTGGCAAAATATAAAGCTTTAAATCGACTTGGCATGAAATGAACGGCTGAGAAAGTAGGAGGTGATGAAAGGGGATGGGAAAAGAAGAGGAGACAATTATTTCTGAAATGAAACACGAGCACTACATTATCTACATTATCTATTCTAAAGTTGAGGAGGGGTGGCACTGTAATTTGAATTGAAGATTTCAGTTTATTTACTACATTGCCACTGGGTTTTTACATTTGGGCCTTGCTTCACAAAAATGGGCGGGTTCGGTTTGTTGTCGTTTGGGCCCGATGTGGGCTGTCAGGTGGGTTGTGGATAGGATTCACTGAAAGCATTAAAGTTACTCTTTTGCCTATTTTCAATCCAGATCGAACGGACCGGGCTATAGAACTTGGGGGTAATTTTGTAATTGTGCATTTAAAGGGATGTGATTGGTGTGATGACATCAAGGGGATGGTTCTGAGAGGTTGACGGGAAGTGTTGCAGATAGAGAAAGGGAGTAGGCGTAGGTATTCCAGAGAGAGAAAGAGACAGGGTTGAGCGGTGATGCTGAATTTGGGGTATGGGAGAAGTGGGAATTGCGGAGGGAGGGTGGGAGGGAGGGAGGGATGGGGTTGGTTTTGAAAGATTTGCTCCACCTAGGATTGTTCGTGTAAGATTTCGACAGCGTTCTCCCTCCTCTGAGGTCCTCCCCAACGAAGCCGTCAATCGCCTCCTCGCTCAAGGTCCTCCCCATATCTATCTCTGTCCTTACTTTCTCTCTAAAACTTGTGTACCTTTGGGTTTAGGTTTCATCAGATGGCGTTTGTAGTGTTTATACTGAACTGTCGACTCTTTTATTCTTTGTAGGTGAAATTGAAGGTCAGCAGATCTCTCACATTGATGAGGGGCTACAATTCGTGCAACGAAAAAGCCAGAGATATGCTACTAATTTGGAAGAGAATAGATAAAGAGATGGTATCCTTCTTCCTTCTCCTCTGGAAATGCATTGAGTACAACAAGTTTATGCATGAAAATATAAAAATGCATGTCTTTTTATCCTATTGATCATAAATTTAGTCCTCTCTAATGATGTGTAGTAGGCCTCAAATTCACATCTTGAAATATTCATGTCTAAAGTTCTGTACATCTTCTGTTTTGGGTTTTTTTCCCCCCCTAGTTTAGGCCAAATAAAAAAATTCGTATGAAGTCTGGATAGTCATTTAGAATTTTGGTGATATTGAGAGTTGATGAAGGAGGTACTGACGGAGAAGGTGAAGGTACTGATCGAGAAGGTTATGAAAGTGGTGAATTTAAGTCTGAAGGCACTATACCTTGCTAATTTGCAACACTGATATATAATAATTATCATCAGAAGCAATATGTCGAACTAGTGCTGCTTCGTCAGAATGAGCAGTTGAAACAATCGAGTTTATTTAATTATGATTTTCCATATTAATTTGACCATGAAAATTTTCAATTATTTTCTAAATATTGGATGAATTGAGCAGTTTGTGTTACCTTGTTAGTCATTTTCATGCTTATTATTTAATTGTGGACATTAAATTATTTTTAAAACTGAACACACACTTATTTTTCAAACTAAACACAATTAGGATGCATTGATTATTTCTTAGACTAAATATGGTATGACAAGTTATCGGCGGGAACGAGATCGTAGTTCTCGAGTTCACATATCAATGCCACCTTCAACACCGTACTAACCGCCTCTGGCATGAATCTACTGGTTTGGCTTTGTCACACCACTTAGTTACTCTCTCTCTCTCATCCCTACGGCATTTGTCATTTTCTTTTGTGGCCTCGAGATATCTTCCTCCTTAATTCCAACCGCTCGCTTTCCTCGACAACTCCAAAAGCCAATCCAACGGTCCGGTGCATTAATATCTCGGACTTGTGAGCAAACTATTCGTATAGATGAAATTTAATTCAACAACTACAAATAAGAGGTTTCTCTTAAAATTATAATAATTGTAGTCATTGAATCAAATTTCAATGGTCCGAATAAGTTGTTCACGAGGCATCTCCTAAGCTCAGGAGGGGATCCGATTCCTAATATCTCCCGTCTATACAATACCTTTTCCATTAAATACTATTCTTTTAGGAAAATATTATTTTCCATGGGTTTTCCAGAAGCATGTGTCAGCATCCTTGACGAGGCTTTACCCAAAGGCTACATGGCGGTAAAACAGACAAATTAAATTCCAGTGACTATTTGTCCAAAAATAAAAAATTAAAAAATTCTAGTGACTAAACCAATACGAATAAATCCATGATCTTCCAAGAAACGACGTCGTGCATATATAAAACAACTGCAGAATAATTATAGATAGAGCTGCTACATGTGAGATAATTTGGTTAAATTTTAGGGAATTTTAACGAAAAGCACCGGTACTGTTCACTTTAACGAAAAACCATATTTTTACACTAAAAAGTCAATGCTAGTACTATTCACTTTACCTTTTATTTTGTCTTTATCATTCAAACTCAAAGTTTTCAAACCATTTTCATTAGTTTTCCTTAAATTTTAAAGTTTTGAAGTTTTTTCATTAGTTTTCTTTAACTATTAAGATTCGTTTGGTTTGATTTGATTTGATTATAATATGGCAGAGAGATTAATAGTTGTAAAGATTTTTTATTAATAATTTAATGAGTTGATCTTGTAGCGTGGAATTCACATATTTTCTTTAGGAAATTATAAAAATGTCCTCAACCGAAGCTGCTCGGAAATTGTTTGGAAATTTCTTGAAAGAAATTGATTAATCAAGAAAATTCAAAACCATGTGCGTAAAGGGAGGGCCCATCCCATGTGCCCCTTTTCATGCTTTAGTAACTGGTCGTCTATTACTCGTATCATTTTCAGAAGAGCCTTTGAAACTTTGTGGATCTAGTCAAAAGCCAATTCAAGTAAAATCTGAACTAGTCTCCCTCTCCCTCTCCCCCTCTCTCTTTCCTGTTTCATTAGATCCTCCTTAATTTTGAATCAGTCTCTCTTTCTCTCTGTTCACAATTAATCTCTCTGCAACTACTACTTCTGGATCTGAAAACTAGAGGTTATGGATATGCCTTCTTCTTCTTCGTCGTCATCTGCTGCCTCTCCTGCTGATGATACAAAAAAGTAATTGTTTTGGATATATTATTTTGAAGGTGAAGTTTTCTTGTTTTGAAGGTGGAAAAAACAAACAAGCCATTGTCAAATTGGTAACTTGTCAGAGGTTAGTCAGTATTTAAGGCTCTTTCTGTATTTTTTTGTCATTTCTTTTTAATAGAAAGTTTAGTTGTTATGTTATGCTGGCATTCAATTTGCTAATTTTTGTTATGTCTGCTGTTAATTTCTTCGCTGGGGACCTGTCACGGGATGTCACTTTGTTTTGTTCGCATCTTGATCAATTGTCTTTCGTTTGACGTTTGGATTAAACGGTTCTCTTAACAGAGGTTCTTGAAAAGCTTCATACAAAAGATTGAAAGAGAAAGCGCAAATGGAAATAGAAAACAAGGAAGAGAACAGAAGAAAGAGGTCTCGAGTTTATTTTTGGCATCCTTTTTGTGTGGTATTTTTTGGTATGCGTAATAATCGGATTTATGTTTATTGACTATACGAAACATAACCAAAACTTCACCTGCAGGAATCGATCAGGTGACGATGATGATACTGATTGTGAGGCGAGCAAAGCAAGGAGAAAAGGTTTGCATTTATATCATTTTATGGTTTTCAACTTCTGTTAGTTTTACATGCTGAGATGACGTCGTTCATATCAAGATTGCAAATATATGAATATCTTTCTTTAAATTATAGTTTTTTTCGAAGAAAATATGTGCCTATCATGTGCCCCATTTTCTACCTTCGTTCATCTCTCACTCATTGAAACTTTGTGCCAATTTTAAGTAAATTCTCCTTAATTCGGTGCAACGTAATAATATTGACTCTTTAATTAACAATTAATCTCTCTGCAACTACATCTTTTTGCTGGATCTGAAAACTAGAGGTTATGGATGTCGCTTCTTCTTTTTCATCCGCTGCTGCTCCTGCTAATGCTGATGATACCAAAAAGAACGATGTGTTTATTAGTTTCAGAGGTGAGGACACCCGCCGTACCTTTACCAGCCATCTTCAAGTTGCCTTACTTGAGAAAAAAATCATAACCTACATTGATGACGAGCTTGAGAGAGGAGATGAAATTGCACCTGCCCTTCTCGAAGTAATCGAGGAATCAGAGCTTTCGGTGATCATTTTCTCGAAAGACTACGCTTCTTCCACTTGGTGTTTGGATGAGCTTGTGCATATCCTAGAATGCAAGGAAAAACATGGCCAGTTGGTTATACCCATTTTTTACGACACCCTTCCATCGGATGTACGAAAACAACGGGGGAGTTATGCGGTTGCATTTGATCTACTTGAACAACGTTTAGAGAACAATATCGACAACGTGCGCAAGTGGAGGGATGCTTTGACGAATGCAGCAGATATATCTGGGTTTGATTCGAAAAATTATGGGTAACTAACTAATTCTTTAACTTGTATAAAATTATAAATTTTCTTTAAACTTGTGACGATTTTATTTGTGCCAAGATTTTGTAAGGTATATATATTTAAGACTTAACTATTGCTTTCTTCATAATCATATATGCCAGGACGGATGCCGACTTAGTTAAGGAAGTTGTAAGGGATATTTGGACCAAATTGTGTCGCGAATCATCCTGCAATTTAAAGGGCTATGTTGGAATTGAAGGCCGCATCAAGAAGATCGAATCGCTGTTAAGCATTCATTCACCGGACGCTTGCATCACTTTAGGTATTTGGGGCATGGGTGGTATTGGCAAAACCACCCTTGCTGAAACTGTATTTCACAAACTCTCTTCTAAATTCGAAGCTTCTTGTTTTGTTAAGAATGTTAGAGAGAACTCAGAAAAAGTAGATGGACTAGATCTCTTGGAAAAAACACTTCTTAAGGAGATATTAAGGGAAGGATGTCTATCCATAGGATCAGCTAGTGTTCGAAAAAGGCTCAGCCGGACAAAGGTCCTCATTGTTCTTGATGATGTGAGTAGTTCAATGCAAATGGAACGTTTAGCTGGCGATCGTCTTCGGTATGGCACTGGAAGTAGAATTATTATAACAAGTAGAGATAGGGCCACACTTAGGCAAACTGTTGAAGAGGATAATATCTACGAGGTTGAGGTATTAAAACCGGATGACGCTCTTCAGCTCTTCTGTTCGCGTGCTTTCAAGAATAGCAGTACTCGTAGAATAGATTATAAGGAGTTGGCAAAAAAGGCCTTGCATTATGCCGGAGGTGTTCCTTTAGCTCTTACAGTTATGGGGTCCTTGTTCTTCAATTGCAAAACCAAAGAAGACTGGGAAGACGAATTCAACAAATTGAAACTATTTTTCAGTGGAGATATCCAGAAAGTGTTGAGAATAAGTTATGATAGATTAGAAAAAAATGAGAAGGAGATATTTCTGGATATAGCATGTTTTTATAAGGGGTGGGTTGTGCGTAAGGTAAAACGAATGTTAGATGTTCGCGGATTCTTTGCGACAGGCGGAGTTAGAATTCTCATTGATATGTCTCTCATATCAATTGGTTCGGAATGGCAAACCATAGAGATGCATGATTCGCTACAAGAAATGGGAAGGAGAATTGTTCAAGAACAATGTATTAAAGATCCCGGTAAATGGAGTAGGTTGTTCAATGATGGGGATGTCTATCGTGTACTGAAGAGTAACACGGTAAGAGCTGCTAAATGCATTCAATTTTTTTATTTTCTTTTTTTTAGGAAAAAAATTTACAAACTTTAGATGATAACAGAACAAAGTAAAACTAGTAAAGAAGTCAGATTGTTAAAAGATGAATTTGATTGAATTTTTATTGTGTTAGGAAGTCTTTGGAATATGAACCAAATATCTTGGATGTTTGACTAGACTAAGACACTTGTACATCATTACCATCGGAAATACTCTTTTTCCAAATGTGCATTACATTTTAACATGTTTATATTCACATTTAAACTTTCTTCTTATTCTCAGGAAACTCCAAATGTTGAAGCCATATTTGCTAATTGTTTTGAGATTCAAAAGCGACCATTGGAACGTGCAGACTTCAAAAAGATGTCTAACCTAATAATGCTAATTGCGGTTGGTGGCTACCAATTCCCCGCTTCTCTAGACCTTCCCGATTCTCTTTGTTATCTTTACTGGTTGAAATATCCACTGGAATCTTTGCCGTCAAATTTTTGTCCGCAAAATCTAGTTGAGCTTCATATGCGATTTAGCAAAGTTGTGAAGCTTTGGAAAGAAGACGAGGTATATTATATTATATGCCTATTTTAATTCTTGTATAAAATCAAGTGTAGAAACTATATTAATTCTTTATATTTCTATTTGATTTGTTGCAGATACTTGTCAACTTACAAGTTATCGATCTGTCGTACTCTCAGTATCTAACTGAAGTTCCAAATCTCTCTGGGAGTCTGAAAATTGTGAAGATAGTTCTTTGTGGCTGTTCTAGTTTGGTTGAAGTTCCATCATATTTTCAACATCTTGACAAGCTTACTCATCTTGATCTTGGAAGCTGCTACAGTCTCAAGTATCTTCTAGAGGTGCCAGGAAATATTCAATATTTGGATTTACAATACAGTGGTATAAAGGAGTTGCCCAAATCAGTTTGGTCTAACGAAAATATTTCTTACTTGAATATAAGTAATTGCAAAGACCTTGAGAAACTTCCAAGCAACAGATGTAAGCTGAAAGTCTCTGGTAGTTTTAATCTAGGTGGCTGCACGTCTCTTGCCGAGTTTTTTGAGCTTCCCCAGGATATAAGTAAACTATCATTGGTTTATTGCAAAAGACTTGTGAGTCTACCAACCAACATTTGTAAGCTGAAACATCTCAAGGAACTCGATCTCTCTTGGTGCTCTGAACTTGAAAACTTCCTAGAGATCTTGGATCCAATGGAACATTTGGTGTCTCTTAGTTTGCAAGGGACAGCTGTCGAAATGCTTCCTTCGTCTATTGAAAATCTAATTAGGCTTGAAATTTTAGACCTTAGTGGCTGCAAGCACCTTAAGGATGTCCCTAATGTTCTCGTTTGCTCAACCTCATTGCAAGAATTAAATCTGAGTGGAACCAAGGTTAGGAGCATACCAGCAAGCATCAAACAAGCTTCTCATTTGTCTATACTCAACTTAGTTGGCTGCAAGCGGCTTCAATCTTTACCAGAGCTCCCAGTGCTGTGTAATGTTGAAGCTCAAGGCTGCATGTTGCTGAAGACAGTGTCAAGTTCAAGGACAACACTCACACAAGGTTGGGTTAAACATTATCATTTTTCCAGAGATTTTACTAATTGCCCAAAATTGGATAATAATGCAAGGAGCAACATAATGGAAGAAGCACATATTAGAATTATGCGAGAGGCAACTAGTGCTCCATCAAAGGACACTCCTTGGCCTCAAATTAATGTTGTATGTCCGGGAAAAGAAATTTCAAATTGGTTCAGCTATCAAAGTGAGGGATCTTCAGTGAACATCAAGCTTCGTCCAGATTGGTTTCAAACAGGTTTATTTGGTTTTGCTCTGTCTGCGGTTGTTTCTGGGGTTTCAAAGCAGCATTGTTCCTTGACTGTAAATGCTAATTTCATTGGCAAATTCAAGGGTGAAAGCCATAAACTGTTCACTTCTGAAATCTATATCAAAAGCAGCGGCTGGAACTACTGTTACGACCAACATCACGTGTATGTGTGGAATGAGGCCTTTAGAAGTGAAGAGGAGGAAGAAGAATGCTCCCCTGATAGTGAAGAGGAAGAAGAATGCTCCCCTGATGTTGAGGCCTCTGTCGACTTCTGCTTGGAGGATGAAGACGACCAACCCATTTCCGATATGAAGGTGGAAAGTTGTGGTATATGCCTGTTTTATGCCGAAGATGCTAAGAAATTCAAATTTGATCATGTCTTCATGTTGAGGGAACCAAAAGTAGAAGAAGAAACAAGACAAGATGACGATTCAAAAGGTGGTCAATTCCCTCAAATAGAAGAAGAAACAAGAGAAGATGACAATTCAAAAGGTCGTCAATCAAGAGATGAGCCTGAAGCCAGTGGATCAAGTGATGAGTCTGAAGCAAATGAAAGTGATGAACATGGGTCTGAAGCCAGTGGAACTTATTATGATTCGGACTTTTAATCCAACAATCCTAAGCATCATCATCCAATAGAATTAGGAAAAACTTAATGAGAAATTTGTACTTTGAGAGCTCACTTGTCTGTCCAAGAAATAAGACAACAAATAGGCAAGGCTTTTATTATTTTGGTATCATTAAAGCGCAAGTTATGGACAAGTGTGTGATATCCTATTTGTTATCATTAAAACTTGATTTGCAAGTCCAGCGGCATCTTGAAATTTACCTTTATATCATAAACATAGACATTAATTAACGCATCACGTCAGGGCAAAGTAAAAATCTCACGACCAAGCGTGGTAATTTGAACATTTGACACTACAAAAATATGTGATTGTTTGATGGCTGAACTGCAATGAGCAAAAAATATGAATGGCCTGATTGGACTAACACTGGCAAAACTCAGTGTTCTTGTTTGAACCAAACAAAGATCAGCGAAACAAATTTTATTAGAGAGGGTAAAATATTACAGCAAATTAAGGTTGAAACAAGAAAGGCACAGACCCAATTGAATAATACAATCATCAAATTTGTAATAATGATAAAACTATAAGGGTCTTCATTTCAATAGGACTAGGGACATTCCAAAATTAAGGAGAAAAATTATATGTCGCACTACAAGATAAGGGAAAAAAAGAATGAAGAAAAAGCGAGATGCATACACAAAGAAATGAAATACAAAAGATACTGTTGATCAAAAAAAAAAATAATAATAAATAAAAGGAGGTTAACTCCTCGAAATAGGCACAACAATTTCTTTTGTTCCTTGTGGTACAGTAGATCAATACTCATTGCTTCCTTCCATACAAGTATTGTTGAAACAAAAAATAACATACAAATAAAGATAAATGAAAGAAAGGTTGTACATCAAAACCAAAGAAACAAAAAGAGTCATACTGTTTTGTACGAAGACATCAGGCAAGCCTTCAAAAGCAAGGGGTCACCACCAAAAGACACCTGCAACAAATCAAGAACAAAAAAAATATATAAAGTTGCAGAATATTCATTCAAAACCAAAACAAAATGAAAAAAATATGAAGCTTTACTGACCGTTCTGTTCTTCTCTCCAAAAAAATAACGAACAACAAAAATGGTACAGGAGAAGCTTGTCCAGAAGAACTGATTGAAATAAATTCAAAGAGGGTTTTGGGAGAATGCTAAAATAGGGGAATTTGAATTCCCTTCCCTATTAACTAGCATGAAGATAAACCCCTATACAAAAAAAAAATAAAAAGAGAAGAAGTTTGCGGCAAACAAACTCCTCAAAAGAAAATAGGAGTGCTGCCCACGTGGAAAAGTTTAGACTTGGGAATCCAAGTCCACAAGGAAACAGGAACCAAAGATAAAATAAAATAAAAAAGAGAAGAAAACACGTTTCTTCCTACAAAAGGGGAGAGAACGTGGAGCAAAACTCCCATCTTCTGCAAAACGTGGAAGGTTTTCTGTAAGACATGGGAGGTTACACAGTTAGCGGGAGAGGGTGGAGAAAAATAGGGCCTCTATCTCCCCCACGTAAAAGCTCCAGAGGCTTCCTATGATGCCTATAAATAGGCATCAGTCGCGGAGAAAGGAAGAATAAAAAGGAAGAAGACCTTGCAGAAATTAGGAGAGAAATTGAGAGATCTCGCCAGAGAAGAAGAACGAAGGAGGAGAGCAAAGCGAAAAAAGAAGGAAAAAAGGAGACACGGCAAAGGAAAGGACCAAAACATTTAAAGGTACATATCTATCTTTCTAGATTTCTTTGTTTGGTTTCTCTCAGTTCTACAGGAAAAGAAAATGAAGCAATTGGCTTCGCTCTCCATCACGGCGATTTCAAACTAGAGAATAAAGCCGTAGGCCTCTGTCACCTTCCTTTCTCCATCAGTGAAGACACTTGTAGCACCGTCACGGACGTCAAATGAAAGCCCAAAAGGATGTTGCAGCCATGTCGTGACCTCTCTACCCATCAAGTTCGTTTATGCTGAGTAGTAGTCCGTGACGTTGTAGTTAATCCCATGAATTTCTTCGGGGTGGTCTAAACCACCCCGTGAAGTTCCAATTAAATTTAAGTGATCTGCAACCGCCACACCAACACCTCTAAAGCACTACAACTTTTCTAAGCTGCTTAAACGTGCCAAGGAAAATATGGCATCAAGGCTGACGATGGTAGCAGCACCATTGTGATCAAGCCCCTAGAGTTGCAGAGCCTCGAAGGCAGCCACAGGATCCTATTTGGAAAAGCCACAAGATCCTATTTTGGAAAAGAAGTCACACCAAAAAAAGAGAAGGATGCTTCCATCAAAAAAAAAAAAAAACAACAAAGAAACCCGTCGCAGCCGTCGAGTGAAGAAGAAAAAAAGAAAAAAAGGTTGCTGACGATGAGAGGAAAGGGTAGCAAAGTTCCATTCGAACTTGGAAAGTTTAATTCACAAAAAAGGGGAGAATAAGGCTTGCTATCGACTTCCTTAGAGAAGACATTCTCGTGAAAGACAAAAGGGGAAGGCCATGGGATCCTAACCTTTCTCAAGATTTATTGGGCAAGGCATTACAAAAGAAGGAAATGTTGCTGCCGCTTCATCCTTCGAAAAATGTTCCAGGAAAAAGAAGATAGTTTTATTCATCATGTAAAGTGTTGCAGCAAGCTTCTAGGTGGAAAAGTCAAAAGAAAAAAGATGTTTTCCTACTATTAGAAAAGTCCTAACAAAGGTACACTTACAATAATGAGGCTATTGGCTCTACAAAGAAACAAGACAAAAATATGGGCAAGTGTGCTGGGGGAAATCAAAGCTCCCTAATCCTTTCACGTGATGAAGAGCAAAACAAGTTGGGAATCCATGCAGGTGGTTCTCTAGAAAAAGGGACAAGTTTGCTACAGAACAAAAATTTGCCAAAGAACAATTGATATAGGATTTGAACCCCACCAAAGGAAAGTTGCGGCAAAGAGAAGAAAAAATAAAAAGAAGGGGTGGATAAAGCTTCATGAAAATCACGAACCCACGTGGGAAGTTGTGAAAACTTAAAAGCATGAAAAAAGTAAAGCTTGTTTTGTGAAGGTTTGAAAATTCAAAGTAGGTTCAAAAGAAAAGTATGCATCTCACGTGGGGAAGAAGTGTGGTTATTGAAATGGGAAGTTAAATTATTGAAATTGGAAGACAAGTCCTATTGGAACTTGAAAAGCTTCGAAGCCACATCAAAATTCAAATGGCATGAAGCCACACCAAATCCAAACAAAGTAACAAATTTTTAATGAACTACGCCGGTTTGATTCCGTTAAGGATACGTAGGCAGTCTGATATCAAAGTTTTTAGACGCAACCGTGAAGCTGAAACGAATCCCTGGTTTATATAAACTAAATTCATTCCTGCTATTTTGATCAAGTAATTCTACAAAGAGTAAGAGAGATCTTCAAACACGAATTATTAGACTTTCAATTAATACATGTTGCTCATGCAATAAAGCCGAAGAAAAGTGGCCAATGGCACAAAGCCGAAGAAAAGTCTCAAATGGCATGAAGCTGTATCAAGTATCAAATGACACAAAGCTACAACAAGTCTCAAAAATCACGAAGTTACATATAGCTCCAAAAGCTTAAAGTCCTCGCCTGCATGAGCTAAAACTGCACAAGGCATCAGTTGCTCCTTGCCCGCATGAGCTAAAACTACATAAGGCATTAAACTCCAACTAATACATAACGAACTACGTCGGTTTGATTCCGTTAAGGATACGTAGGCAGTCTAATATCAAGTTTTAGACGCAACCGTGAAACCGAAACGAATCCCTGGTTTATATAAACTAAATTCACTCCTACTATCAAATACCAAAATGGCACGAAGCCGAAGAAAAGTTTCAAAGGGCACGAAGCCGTATCAAAGTCTCAAATGGCACAAAGCCGAAGAAAAGTCTCAAATGGCATGAAGCCATATCAAATTTTCAAAGGCTCCTCGCCCGCATGAGCTGAAACTGCATAAGGCATTATGCTCCTCGCCTGCATGAGTTGAAACTGCACAAGGCATCAAAACGCTCCAATGGCTTAAAGTCCTCGTCCGCACGAGCTGAAACTGCACAAGGCATCAAAACCCAAACACCATGAACTATGAGTGACTTGATCCCTCAAGAGGGTACGTAGGCAATCTAGGGTTCGGTTTGATTCCATTAAGGATACGTAGGCAGTCTAATATCAAGTTTTAGACGCAACCGTGAAACCGAAATGAATCCCTGGTTTATATAAACTAAATTCACTCCTGCTATCAAATACCAAAATGGCACGAAGCCGAAGAAAAGTTTCAAAGGGCACGAAGCCGTATCAAAGTCTCAAATGGCACAAAGCCGAAGAAAAGTCTCAAATGGCATGAAGCCATATCAAATTTTCAAATGCTCCTCGCCCGCATGAGCTGAAACTGCATAAGGCATTATGCTCCTCGCCCGAACGAGCTGAAACTGCACAAGGCATCAAAACCCAAACACCATGAACGAGTGACTTGATCCCTCAAGAGGGTACGTAGGCAATCTAGGGTTCGGCCTAGGTGCAGTCACAAAATCAAACAAACACCAAAATCCTCAAGTTACATTTTATTCAAATTGGAATCAAAGGGTATTTCTTTCCCAAAAGAAAGGTTCTAATTAATAGGCGCATAGCCTAGAATGGGTCGAACTCGAATTAATAAAACCCTCTTCGGAAAAAATGAACGAGGGTGAAATTGTGTCGAGTGAATTATTTGTTTACATATTATGTACAATTTTTTGTCAACAGATACATTACAAGTTTGATGGCTGATTTGCATTTTGACCCAAAAATATTCAATTTTCTGTCTAGCATCCAAAATTTCTTTCTCCAAGTCTTTGGCATATTTGTTATGATTTGACAACCATCAGGAAGTAACATGTGCACATAACTGTGCTGCTCAAGATGAAAAAATTGGGGAAACATCTATGTTCTAAGTACCTTTTTATCAGCTTCGATTGTTTCTTTGGACTTTGAGTTCAGTTAGTTAACCTCCAGAAAAGATCCAAACTTCTGTTACAAAAAGATACTGAGAAAGTGGATTCATATAATCAATATGTAACATAACATATGCCCCCGGTTAACATTTTATACGGAAATTCCTTCAGCAAAACAAGTATACAACTTCAAGAACCTATATGTCAATATGATCATGACCCAAGAACATTTCTCCTGTATGCGACAATCCTAACCATTCCATAGTCATCTTCTGCTGCAGGTTTTCACTGCTACATAATTGTACAGTAAAAACCATCCTTGGTCAATCCTTGGGTCATATACCACATTTCAAACGGATACACCAGAAAGTAAATTAATGACCTGATAACATAACTTTCCCAACCTCACTAATTGTAGTATGAATCCTTCATCTACTTATTTTCTTCCATTTGAACATCAATTCCGCATTTATACTAACACGAAATAAAAATTTCAGCTTTGATCAGAGAATTAAGACATCCCGAACTCACATTACTACTTCAACTACAATTAGACTAAAAATTCAAAATCAATCTGATTCGGAACAAATTTCCACCAACATCAAATCCCGATCAACCACTAATATTACACAAATATAATCATACACACTACAATATACATCCAATTATACATATATACACAAGCATATACATATAGAGAGAGAGTACCCGTGCAAGGACCTGTTTGGGAAGACCGGAGCCCTGGAAGAAAGCGACGGCCTCATTGCGCCGCACGCTCAGGCTGCCGTACGCTTGAGGAGCGCCGGGAAGAATTAAAAAAACCACTAATTCGGAGGACCAAGATTTTGATGCCTTTAGAAAACGACGACGTACAGCGGGGATTTGGTTGCCTTTCTTCTCCGATTCGGAGGAAAATCAGTGATTCAAAAGACGACTGAGACACTGTACATGCCAATAGTTTGAGGTAGCAAAACGACCGTCGTTAATCGATTTTTCCTTTTAATTTTTTTTGTGACTGAAATGGTACTGTATTTGTTGTGATTTTTCCTTTTAATATTAGAAATCAAGTTTATGTTTTCGATTTGTCAACTTGTACAAAGTGGGGAAACAAAAAGTGCACTTAGAGAAGTTTTTTATCCTAATTTCGGACGTCCAACCTTTTCGGAAGCGTCTAACACTTATGCCCAATCATTCAAGATAACGCTTGTTTGAATCTAATAACAAATGTTTCCTTTATGAACATCATACGACATCCTAAATTTCTAATCTCATCTTCTTCCCAAATAAAAGAGGAAAATTGGATTTTGGAGCACCAAATCAGGGCCAGAGGACTATCGGTTGAACTTATGATTCCTGAAATAAGCACGGTTTTAGGGTTCCGACCAAAAAAATCAGTTTTGGGATACAACAGTCTAGTGACAATTCCATGCCTTCCTATTTAACTTTTAATAGTTCAAAAACAGTGAAAAAAAAAAAACATGTACAAGAGGCCAAATTTGGATACTTATCCATAAATGTTTAAACAAGAGTTGAATTCTTACAATTACAAGGAAGTAGTACTAAGTTTCGGATCAAAAACCAAAGAACCGGAATAACTAATGTAATAAGTAAACATTGACACATAATGTAATGCATTCTTAACTAGAGCTACAACCTTGTCTAGCTTCCATTATTTTGTAATTGTATAAGTTGATTTGGCGTATGTCGCTGGCTACTCTGCATTGAAGCGTGCAACTCTGTTGTGGGAGCTTCTTCTATTCTCAATTTTAGCAAATGTCTCAATCACTAGGATGAATTTCTTGAATTTTATTAAGTAATTTATGTGCTCTTTAACTATTTTTGGTATGAATAGTCACACCTTCTTATTTGCAAATGTTAAGGACAATTGTTCACGTGCATTTTATTAGTAAGTTTTTAACACAGAGATTGAAGTTGAGCATGAATCCTGTGGCATGTGTGATGGAATGGATTTTTCATGGAAAAGAGTTTCCAAGGGAAGCCAAGATAACTGTGGGCCTATGGCAAATGGTAGGAGCGAGCATGTTTAATAGTGACTGAGCAAAATTTTTTGGATTGTGATATTTACCCATCTTTAATTACTTATCCAACATTCTTTTTACTTTTTAACATTTTATTAATTTTCTAACATTTGATATTCCATATATGTCTTTTCTACATTTTTACCTTTGGAATTTTAGAATAATTTTATTATTTTGTTTTACACTTTTATTTAAAAACACTCCACCATATATGCCCTTATGCAACTGTTAAGTTCTACTGCTAGAAAGATCCCAGAACAAGTATAAAACACCTATTATAAAATATAAAAAAATATGAAGTGTCAACAATAAGTAAAAATAAAATGATTACCTAATGATATAACATATATGCATAAATTACATGAATTGTACAAAATACTACTCAGCAACCCAATCCCCATAATAGCAGC